GAATGAAACTAGATCACCAACTTACACCATACACAAAAATAAACTCAAAATGGATACAGGACTTAAACATCAGACGGGAAACCATAAAAATACTAGAAGCATCCGCAGGCAGCAAAATCTCAGACGTATGCCAAAAGAACTTCTTCACTGATACTGCCCCTAGGGCAATGGAAGCTAAAGAGAAAATAAACAAATGGGACTACATCAAAATAAAAAGTTTTTTTACAGCAAAAGAAACCATCAACAAAACAACAAGAAAGCCCACGGTATGGGAGAATATATTTGCAAATAATACCACAGATAAAGGTTTAATCTCCAACATCTACAGACAGCTGATACAACTAAATAAAAGGAAGATGAATGATCCAATTAAAAAATGGGCAATGGACCTAAATAGAATATTTACAAAAGAAGACAGAAAGAAGGCCAAAAGGCACATGAAAACATGCTCAAAGTCACTAATTATCCGAGAGATGCAAATCAAAACAACAATGCGGTACCATCTCACACCTGTCAGAATGGCCAACATCAACAAATCAACAAACGACAAGTGTTGGCGAGGTTGCGGAGAAAAAGGAACCCTCGTGCACTGCTGGTGGGAATGCAGACTGGTGCAACCACTGTGGAGAACAGTGTGGAGTTTCCTCAAAAAACTGAGAATGGAACTCCCATTTGACCCAGTAATCCCACTTCTTGGAATATATCCCAAGAAACTAGAAACACCAATCAGAAAGGATATATGCACCCCTATGTTCATAGCAGCACAATCTACAATAGCCAGAATCTGGAAACAGCCGAGGTGCCCGTCAGCTGATGATTGGATCCAAAAACTTTGGTACATCTACACAATGGAATACTATGCTGCCATAAAAAAGAAGGAATTCTCATCATTTGCAGCAACCTGGATGGAATTGGAGAACATCATGCTGAGTGAAATAAGCCAATCAATGAAAGAGAAACACCACATGACCCCACTCATTTGTGGATAATAAAGATCATTATAAACTGATGAACCAAAAGATAGATATAGAGACAGTAAAGCAACAAGCAGATTGTCAAATTACAACGGGGAGGGGAGGAGGGTCTGGGGGAGACAATAAATCAACCCAAGGACTTGTATACCTGCATATAAGTACAACCAATGGACATAAAACTCTGGGGAGGGAGGGGATACATGGGAGGGAAGGAGGGGGGCAAAAAAAAAATCAATAAAATATGTAAAATAAAAAAAAAAAAAAAACATAATAAAAAAAAAAAATAAAAAAAAATAAAATAAAAAAAAAAAAAAAAAAAAATATATATTTTATTGATTTTTATACAGAGAGGAAGGGAGAGAGATAGAGAGTTAGAAACATCAATGAGAGTCATCGATCAGCTGCCTCTTGCACACCCCCTACTGGGGATATGCCCGCAACCAAGGTACATGCCCTTGACCGGAATCGAACCCGGGGCCCTTCAGTCCCCAAGCCGACGCTCTATCCATTGAGCCAAACCAGTCCCGGCCCACTTTCCTCTTTAGAGAAGCTATCTCACCACATCCCACCCCAGGTCAGGCTCTCAAAGATGGAGACAGTCATCTGGGAGACAGGGGATTTAAAGGGATGTCCTCAGAACACCAAAGGGGACACGCCTTTCCTCTTCTTCCGTGCCGGTCAGGAGGCGAGGCTGGCGAAGTCCGTGAGCATCAGCCGGACCAGCTGCCCCGGGTAGTGAGCGTGGGCTGCGGGGTCAGCTGTCTCCTGCTCCGGCCGAAACAGGGTCGGTCCAAACACAACTCCCAGATTGTGGGGGGTCATGCGGTTCTTATCTGAGTGAGCTATCACCCTGTGGGCAAGGGAAAGGCCAAGAGAAGGGGCTATAAGGAGGCAGCTTTGCCACTTCAAATAAATCTAACTCTTCAAAGGTTTGAGCAGGGAAGAGTTCACTCTGGGATCCCTCCGTGTAGTGGCCAAAGGAAACCGAGGAGACAGAGCCTCAAGGGGGATGAGAGAGGTCCAGTGGAGAAACCTTCAAGATACAACTGCCTGGATACAACCACCTCTTCCCAGCGTCAGAGACTGCCCTTACAGTCCTCTCTGCTCACAATTTGGGAGGCTTTAATTCAAATGGCTGTCCTCTCTCAGAAGGCACTGCCCAGGCCCAGCTCAGCCAAATAAGCCATCACCACTGTTCCAATGGGCAACAAGGAGGCAGAGGGAAGGGAAATTTAGATTTCCCTTATTTCTCACACAGCGTCATTGTGCTGATCTTGGTCCCCATTTCCCCATATTGTGCTGACCACAGGTTTTGACCCTCATAATATGACCCCTGCACAACAGTTGCCTGTTTCATCAATCTGCTCTAAACGTGGGTATTTCCCTACCGTCACCCCATTCGAGTAAAGTCCCTGCTGCATGCCCCACCCCTCCCTCTCCCTAAGGAACAAGAAGTTCCATTTTCCCGACCTGCATAAATGCTCCAGGAGGAACCGCAGAGTGTCTTGGTTGGGCTTCGGCATTGAGGCTATTAATTCTCTTATTTGAGAGAGGCGCTGTTCTGACTCCGAGAGCTCTACAGAGAAAGAGTAACGGAGAGGGCATGGGGGTGAACGAAGGGAAGGTGCTAGTGCAGGGTGGGTAACTTATTACTCTTTCCCAGGCCCATGGAAGACATCATTTATGCATAGCAGCTTCCTTTTTCACTGAGCCCAACTGCAGCTTTAGAAGTCCTTCCGACTCAGCACTTAACATTCGCACACACATACACACAAAACAAACCAACAACAACTGCGGTCGGCACATGTGTTGAAAGTTATTTTCCATCTCTATGTTCTGGATGAAACAGAAGAGTGTAACAGAACCTCTACTTTATTCTTGACCCCCTCACTTCTCCCCACAGTATCAAGGGTAATTGCTCAAAGCTCCCATCTCTTACCGAGGGCAGCACGAAAATGGGGCAGCAGCAGTGGGGGTACCAGCGGCTGGGGCAGCTCCCTGAGAAAAAGCTTCAGGGCTCCAGTGACCACGTGAATGTCATCCCACTCAGCACTGTCCAAATCTAACCCGCCTTCTGGAGGAAGAAGGAGGTATAGGAGGGTTCAGGGCTCATGAAGGGCCAGAGGGACCCAAAGACTGAGAGATCAGGAATTTGGGAGAAGATCCAGCTGAGGCAGGCATAGGAATGCCTAGGGCAAGCATGTCAAACTCTGGGCCACATGTCTCATTTATTTGGCCCGTGATAGCCTTTGAGTTTGACATGCTTGGCCTAGGGAGTCTACAGTAGGGCAGGATAGCAGAGGCAGAGATGGGGACAACCCTTCCAGGAGCAGGAGATGGGGGAATCATAGGAGCAAGGGGGATGTGGGGAATTTTGAAGGGCCCAAGGGGCCTTTTGTGTACATACCTTGTCCGGGCTGCTCTGGGAACACGTACCTCCCATCGGAGGTGACTGCCCGCTCTGCAACAGGTATGAGAAGAGATTAAGAGCTAAGACATGCAGTTCCAGCCGGAAGGCCTCCCTGTCTGCCAGCTCACTCCCTCGGAACCGCCTGTGGTTCTGAGACATGAAGTTATAATACCACCACCGGCCCACAGGCCTTCTCACCTCTGTCCACCAGGAAGCGAAGTTTCTGGACCACTGCCAAGTTCCCGCTCACCCGGTAGATGCCATCCACATCTAGGCCTAGGAGAGGAGGCGAGGAAAAAGAAGACAAGGATTCCCGCTCTGATGTGTGTGATGAGGTCTGGCGAGGGAGCCAAGGGTGGAAGGGAAAAGGCTACAAGGAAGCGTGTGAGGGAGGTGGGAAGTCCCAGGCCTGGGCCTGCTGGAAGGGCGGGCCGGGGGTCTCTGGGGAAATTACCTCTCTTATCTACAGCAGCAATGCAGCGCCGCACAAAGCTGGGCACAGTGTCTCCTTCCCGCTGGCACAGCGATTCCAGCTGGCAGCCGAACACCTGGTCTGCAGGGGAGATACAGGGTGAGGGGGCAGTGTCACCCACAGAAGCTCTTCTCAGCACAGGCCTTCCCTCCAAAGCCCGCCTGGCCCTCCTGGCTGCCTGTTCTAGGCCGCTGCAAGGAGGTACACCCACCTCCCAGAGCCAGCAGAAGTGGGAAAAGCAATGGTCTCCGAAGAGCAATTCTACTCCGCGCCTCACTGAGGTTTTCCCGTCCATGAAATGGGCCGAGGCCCGGATCAGGAATGCAAAAACACTCCCAGAGGCCTGAAGGGGGGACGGTACCCGCTGGGCCAGCCCACCTCACCTCGGAGCAGGCCCCGCTCCTGCAGGCTCTCCAAGGGCGGCCTCTTAGCGATCAGCCGCTTCAGTTTGTTCCGCACGCGGTTCTGTTCGGTTCCTTCTGGGCAGCGACCTGGGGGAGGCCGGGAACCGGAGAGTGAGCACAGCTGTGGGAGAAGGAACCTGAAATAGCCCCGGAGGCCCGGTCCCAGGCCCGCCTCTCACTGGAGCTCCGGCGGCCGCCAAAACGAAGCAGTGGCTTGGGCACCGGCTCCGACTCCTCTTCTTCGTCCTCCCCGGCGCTCAGTTCCGCCGGCCCCGAACCTGACAGGCGCAGCTCCAGCGGGTTCTCCCGGTCCTAGGTCCAGGCGGGTGGGGTGGGCCGAGTAGATGGGAAGAGAGGAGAGAAATCTGCACCCCAGCTCCAAGCAAGGAACCCTAATTGGCTGCTGGGGTTCCACATCCTAGCCCCACCCCGGGGCTCTGCACTGAGCCCATCCTGCCCCCTAAATTCCCTAGGCCCTACGGCTCCTCTTCCCACCCCCACCCCCACCCCGCCCCCGCCGCCCCTCTCACCAGGCGCTCGATGACCGCCCGCAGCGCATGGTGCCAGGCGCGCAGCTCGGCCTCCAGGTCTGAGTGCAGCAGGAACTCGTGGCCCGGGACCGTGCGGATCTGGGGCGCCGGCGGGGGGAAGGCGTGGGTCAGCGGGGAGGAGCATACAGCGCGGGGAGGCCGAGAGGGAGGCTGGGGGGGGGGGGGGATGGAGGGCGCACCCCCGGGCCAGAGGAGGCTTTGGGGATGCTCCGGAGGCACTCACGTGCAGGACGTTGCGGCGGCTGGACAAGTGCCGGCCGTGGGCCAGGGCCGCCCCGCGCAGGTCCACGCTGCTCTCGGGTCGGCTGCCCGCTGGCCCCTGGGAACCGGGGGAGAAACCGAGGCCGCGGTGCGGGTCCCCTCACTGTCTCCCTCTCGCCGGGTGGACCACAAGGACGTGGGGTGGGGGAAGCTGCTTCCTAATGCCCCCCCCCTCCACGCTCCCGCCTCCCACAGCTGGCCCTTCCCTCGCTCACTCACCCAGGCTGAAGAGGAGGGTGCCACCCGGGGTGGCTCTCGGTAAAACATCAGGCTGTTACCCGCTAGCACCACCCACGATGGGCACCAGTTCTTCCTGCAGGGGCAGGGGCAGAGGGCAGAGGGCAGAGGGCAGAGGACAGAGTCGTTTAGAAGCCCTGGGGGAGGGGGGGCCGCTTTCCCAGCACCGTCTACCCCACGGGATGGTCCCACCGTCGGGCCTACCGGAGCTTGCGTCCCCCCTGGGCAATCTTCGTCACGTTGAGTTGGCCCGACCTCTCCACCTCCTGGGGAACGGAGAAGGGGTACCTGTAAGTCACCCCGTGAGCCTCATGGAACCTCGGCTCAGAGTTCCGAGGGAGGCTGGGTAAGGGAGGCTCCCCGAGAACAGGCAGAAAGAGGAAGATGTTTCGGAGGAGCAGGGATTGGGGCGGGGTAGTGTGTGTGTGGGGGGGAGGGGGGCACTGGAGTATCTTGCATTCGCACGAAAATGGGAAACTTACATGAGGGTCGTCCAGGACCTGCGGCAGAGGCCGGAGGGGCTGCCGGGCTGCAGGCGGGTGGTCTGAGGGGCTGAGCTGGGAGGTGCGCGGGTGGAGGCGGGGTGAGCCCTGGGGCAGGAGGTTGGAGAGAAACAGGTGGAGCAAACTCTTAACTTGGAAGTCCCTCGCTGCAGAGGAAGGGGAGTGCGGATGTGGGTGACAGGAGTGTATGTAATAAAGAAGAATGTCTTGCATAAAAGAGAAAGTGGCGAAAAGATGGCTTTTCCTGGGAGCAGACTGGAGGAGGCAGGGATCTCACCTGGGGGTTGAGCAGTTCTGGGGACCCGGTGTCCGATTCTGAGCTCTTTGCCTGAGGTGGCAGGACACCGTTGTCCCTATTCAGGGTCTGTGTTCCCTCCATGGAGCCAGGGTTCTGGGGGCGGGGGGGGAGGGGGAGAGGAGGAGAAGAGGGGGTAAAGCTACATCCAGATGCCTCCCTCAACCTGCTCTCAACACCCTTCTCACACTTTTCTGATTCTTTTGATCTTCTGGAAGCCCCAGAAAACAAACACGCTGCTTAGGAAGACAGCAGGGGAGAGGAGCAGATGGAGGAGGGTGGGGGGACAAAGAGAGACTCACCGTCTCTGGGGTTCGAGTGCGGCGGGGAGGCTTCCAGGACTTGCAGCCCGTCAGCGCGTTTCTGTAGAAGCAGAGTCCGGAGTCAGGGTCCAGGTGCTGCTCCCAGGCGTCCAGCCTCTGCAGCGGGGGGCACGCAGGGCTTGGGGGTGGGGACTGGAGACAGCGGCGAAGGTCCACTAAGTTACAGTACACGGGGGGCTCTGACATGAGGAGCTGGGGTCCAGCCTGCCAGGAAAGGGTGGAGAAAGGGGTAGGTAGGTATTCTCCCAAACCTCTCTCCACCTAACTACCTCCCCCTCTCCCCCACCATTTTCTCACCACCAGATCCTGGCTGGGGTTACCCAGGTACTGAGGGAGAAACCTGGTCCCCGGCTGTGACTTTTTTTTTTTCCTCCCTCCCTCACAGTCTTCTATGCTCTCTCCTCACTTCCTGTTGCCAACTTCCCTCCTCCCCCACCCCACCCCCACCCCAGGGCCGCAGGAAAGGGGAACAGGCGTGTGTGTTGGGGTGGGGGGCGGTTTGAGGGGAGCTCTCCACCCCTCACATCCTTCAGAGTAAAAGGAGACAAGAGAGGAGGGGGTATGAGAAAAGAGGGGCCACTTTTCATCCACCAGTAACTAAGAGAGGGGAGGGGCTGAGTCTTCAGGAAGAAAAAGGAGTTCCATCTCTAGAGGTGACGAGACCTGACACCGCACGACAAACCCTGCCTTGGGCCAGGAGTAGGAGGAAGAGAGAGAAAGCACAGCTGAGGTTGTCTTTCAGTCCCCCCATCATCTGCCTGGTTCCATGTACCCTCAGGATCTTTACTACTTGCTGTCCTGTCCCTCAGCTAGAATTCTTTCTCATCTCCTCGTTTGCATCTGACTTCTCCTTATTCAGATTCAACTAAACATCATCTACTCAGAGATGCCTTCCTAGGCCAGTTCAGTCCCTCTCCACCATATTTATCTTTCTGGTAGCTCTTATTCGTTCCAACACACATTAGTTTACGAGAGTTGTGAGTCACGGGAACCCTTGAAAGCTGAGTCTGTTAGCCCTTGTGCCTAGAACAGGGCTCAGCAGTAAATATCTGTTGATCGCAGCTGCTCAGTTGGAAAGCTGTGACTCACCGCATTGGCATTGGCCTCTGTCAGCAAGTTCTCCCGGGAGAGAGATCTTCTACTTTGTCCATCCTGGGAGGGCTTCGGGAGAGTGGGCCTCAGATTGGTAACACTGACACTTCCACAGATCGTGGGGGGAAGAGAAGGAGGCTGCTGCGATGCAGACTGGGCTCTGCCTGGGGTGGCCTGAGGTGGGTGCAGCTCCTCCAGTGAGCCAGGAAACCCCTTTGGCCCTGGAAACAGAAATGGGGAGAGCAGGGGGCAGGTGATCAGAGGCCTGATCTTGGCTGGGGGTTCACAGGGAAGGCAAGAGCAGGGAGAGGCTGTGGTTGAAAAGTAAAATGAGATCTGCAAGACTTGAGACTAAGGAAGAGAGGCAATGGGGACACCCGGGTGGGTAGAGGAGTAGGCTGATCACAGGAAAATAAGAGAAGGGGATCAAGCAGAAACTTGGAGGAGGAGGAGCCTTCCAATAACTCCCAGAAGCGGGGTTGGGGGGTGGGTGGGAAGGGCTTACTCACCACGAGTCCAGAGGGGCTGCCTGGCGGTGACGGTGGTTGGGCTCGGGGAACAGATGGACTCCTCGGTCACGTAGGCAGCTGGTACAAAGACGGGTCGTGAGGCGGGTGGTGCTCCCAGGGGCCTTGCCAACCACCAGTCAGAGTTGGTCTTCCGAATCAGCAGGAACCTGTCCCCTTCAGCCATAGACACCTGCCGGCCATCTGCCGCAGTGTAAGTGAAGGCATAGAGGGCACAGAGCTGGGGTCTCTGAGAAGTGTTTTTGGGCCCTAGTCCTAGGTTCCCCCAAGTACTTGGCCACCACTGGCCCGACAGCATTGTGGCCAGTCCTGTCACCTGTGGGAAAAAGGGGTGCTGGATATCCAGAAAGGGTCAGAATGGGCTCCTTCCAGGCAGAGAAACATGGTTCTCAGAGCAGTGTCAGAGGAAAAACAAGCAGAGGAATCCTGGAGTGAGAGGAGAGGGTAAAGCAAAGGGGCTGAGTGGGGGTCACTGACAGGCTTTGGGACCTGAGAACTCCTGAGTGATGTGACTGGTGAGGAAGTATATAAGTAAGGTGACAGAGGATGTGGTCAGCAGGGCTGTGAGGCCAGCAAGGCAGGAAATCATATATGGCCTACCTCAGTGATTTTCCTCCAAGTATCTTCTGGGGCTCAAATGAAGGTCCAGGGGCAAAGTTGGTTCTGGATGGTGGTGGGACTCTTGAGTTGGACACAAGAAGATGAGGGGAAAAAAGCATCAGGCCTAAGACAGAACACAGACAAAGAGAAAGCAGTTAGTGACAAAAGTAAAAAAGTTTGTGGCCCTTTATTAAATGTACACAGGCACCAATGTTTCCATCACTGATCCTCTCAGACATAAAGCTGCGTGCTTCCTGTGTGGAGTCGGAGAAACAGAGAGCCAGGAAGACCACATTGGAGAGAATCAGAAAGTGGGTGGGAGAAACACAGAGGGATTCGTTAGAGAGGGTGGTGAAAACGCCACCACCCCCTTTCTCCCTTCACCCCCCCCCTCCCCATCCAGGACATGTTTTGGGCAGCTGGGAAGTCTCTGTACTTAAGCCTCTTGGGTGGGGCCCTACTTTAGTGTGTGGGCTTATTCATTCATACTCTTAGCAAGCATTGCTGAGCCCCTCCTGTATGAAAGGAACCATGTTAGGCACTGGAGTAAAGGGCAGCGAGGAGATAGACACAGCCCTTGCCCTCTTAGAGCTTAAAAACAGATATTAACTAACCACACGATACATTTATTAATTACAAGGGAATCGGGGTCTGTGGACAGCACATTGGGGTGAATGGGAGACTGATGTCAGCTTTTCCCAGGAAGGTGGACACTGACCTCCCTGTCCATTGCCAGAGCTTCAAAACCCACACTCGTGCTTCCTCCTTACCTGACCCTCTTTCCCCTGCTGTTTCTCCTTCATCACACTGCACAAGGGAAGCTTTCTGTGAGGCCTTTTGTCTGGGAGGTGGGGTGGAGGTGAGGTACCACCCCCTTGGTGACATCAGACAGCTCTCCTCTTCCTATGTGTGATCTGAGGGCTGCATTATCAGTTCTGAGTGCTGGGTGACATTCCTCCTTCGTTTGCTCCACTTTCAAAATGTGGAGAATCCCACCCTTCAGCTCTTCCTTCTCACTTCCAAAATAGTGACTGCAGGTCTTCCTGCCTCTTGCAGGCCTCACACTGGGGATCAAGCCTGCAATCAGTGAACTCCTGGTTCACAGGTTGACAATCAACCACTGAGCCATGCCGGCCAGACCCTCATCAGCTTTTAAATGTAGCCAAGTATTCCTCATCTTTATTTTTAAAAAAATATGTTTTATTGATTTTTTACAGAGAGGAAAGGAGAGGGATAGAGAGTTAGAAACATCGATGAAAGAGAATCATCCATCAGCTGCCTCTTGCACACCTCCTACTGGGGATGTGCCTGCAACCCAGGTACATGCCCTTGACCGGAATCAAACTCAGGACCTTTCAGTCCGCAGGCTGACGCCTTATCCACTGAGCCAAACCGGTTTTGGTGTATTCCTCATCTTTAAATAAACCTCCCTGTGCTCTCCAGTTGCCACTGTACTTCTTCCTTTTTTAAAAAAAAAAATATTTTTACTGATTTCAGAGAGGGAGAGGAAGAGAGAGAGAAACAATGATTGGCTGCCTCCTGCACGTCCCCCACTGGGGATCGAGCGGGCAACCCAGGATGTGCCCCTGAACCAGAATCAGACTGGGGACACTCTATCCACTGAGCCAAACCAGCTAGGTCCTCTTCCTTTTTTTTTTCTTTTCTTTTTTTTAATATATTTTATTGATTTTTCACAGAGAGGAGGGGAGGACAGAAAGTTAGAAACATTGATGAGATGAGAGAGAAACATCAGCCAGCTGCCTCCCGTACACCCCCCATCGGGGACATGCCTGCAACCAATGCACATGCCCTTGAACAGAATCGAACCTGGGACATTTCAGTCCACAGACCGACGCTCTATCCACTGAGCCAAACCTGTTTCGGCAGGCCCTCTTCCTTGAAAGAGTTGCCTACACACAGAATCTTGATTTCCTCTCCCCTGACACTTTCTGCTTTCTAAGGTCACTCTCCACTAGGGTCACCCCTGAGTTTGCATGGACAGTTTGCAGTCCGTATGCTGCTTGACATCTCAGCAGCTGCCAATACAATTTACTTTCTTCTCCTAGAAATACTGGGTGTCCTCCTTACCTTTCTAGCACTTACTTCTCTGTTGCATAAGGGAGGGCTTTCCTTTGCTTGTTCCTTAAACCCCCATGGTCTCCCTGAGATCCAGTGCCCTTTGTGTTTTGTATACCCTAGGTAGTCTTAATCTCTCTAGCTCAAATGAACTCCATGTGCTCTTGAGTACCATATCTTCATTCCAGATCTTTATCTGAAGCTTCAGTCTAATCCACAATCCACTGAAAAACTCCAAGTGAGTATTTCACAGGTACCACAAACACAGTATGTTCTAAACCAACTCATTTCTCTTCCAGTATCCCTATTCGGTTAAATTTAAATTTAGTAAGTATTTTTTTAAAAAATATATTTTTATTGATTTCAGAAAGGAAGGAGAAGGGAAAGAGAGAGAAACATCAATGATGAGAGAGAATCATTGATCAGCTGCCTCCCACAGGCCCCACACAACTGGGATCAAGCCTGCATCCCAGCCATGTGCCCTTGACGGAATCGAATCCTTCAGTCTGAGAGCTGACGCTCTAACCACAGAGCAAATTGGCCAGAGCTCTACCAATGTTTTTAATTCCTACAATTACCACCCTCTTTAGCCTGGATGATATAACCTTCTAACTAGTTTCTGTGCATATAGTTCTGCTCCCTTCCACTCCATTCTTGGCACAACAGCCAGAGTGACTTGTCTAAAACACAAAAATTCCCCGCCACTCCCCTGATTTAGCCTTTCAAAGGCTTCTCATTGTACTCAGAGTAAAGCCCACATTTTACAATCTGACTTAAACACTTTTTCCCTTTATCCTAGACTTTTCACACTCCCCACAAACTCTACACTCCAGCCACTCCACTCCTAAAGTGCAACTTTGCATATCTTCTTTCCTCTGCCTGAAACACTTCCTCTCTCCACTCCCACAATCTTCACCTGGCTAACTCTTACTCATCATTCATATCTCAGTCAAAAGGTCACACACAAGAAGAGCTCTTTTAACCCCTTAGAGTTAGGTAGGGGCCCTAATTAGCAGCTCCCACAGCAAGCTTTACATCCCCATCATAACCTTCATCACACTTTAAACATTATTTATCTAACTTCCCAGGAGGTCTTTGAGCTCTGCCAAAGCAGAAGTCTGTACCTATTTTGTGAATAATTCTAACTTCAATGCCTGGTATAGTTCCTGGTACAAAGTAAACTCTCTGTGCCTCGGATCCTCATCTGTAAAATGAGAATGAAAGGACCTATCTCATGATTTTTTGGTTTATTTGTATTTTTTTTTTTTTAATTAGCAACCATTTTAATATAGCTTACAATTTTATGGGTCAAAAATTGGGGAAGGCTTAGCCAAGTGATTCTTCTGCCCCATGTGGTATTCAATAGGCATATGGGTTGATCTGGAGATCTTCACTCACATTTCTGAGACCATGACAATCTCACGGTAGTAAGACCTCTTACATGGCAGTTCAGGGCTACCAGAATGTTCTAAAGAAGCAAGAGCAACCCTAGCCTGTTTGGCTCAGTGGATAGAGTGTGAACTGCAGATGGAAGGGTCCCTGGTTCCATGCTGTGTTCCATGCCTGTGAAGGGCCTGTACTTCCTTTGCAGATTCCTCCCCAGGGTGGGGCCTGGTAGGAGGGGGGGGGGTGCAGGAGGCAACCAATGGATATTTCTCTGTCTTTCCCTCTCCCTTCCTCCCTGAAATCAATACTATATATATATATATATATATATATATATATATATATATATATATATCACAAAAATAAATAAATAAAACAATGGAAAAATATTCTCAGGTGAGGATTAAAAACAAAACAAAACAAGACAAAGAAACAAACAAACAAGAAGAAGCATGGGCAGAAGCTGTCAAGTTTCTTATGACCTAGCTTCAAAAGGCCCAGAACTACTATAGAGTTTTTGAGGATGAAATTAATACATGTGAAGTGCTTAAAACAGTGCCTAGCTCATAAGTACTACTATTAATTATTTTATTTTTTTTTAAATATGGTTTTATTTTTAAATAAAACCTAGCTGGTGTTATACCCAGACTTTGTGATCCCCAAGGACCACCAGGGAGCCGAGTCCGATGCAATAAACAAAAGAGCCTCTTCCATGCTAGCATGGGCTCTGTCCCACTTATGCAACAGCATGGCAAAAGAGAGGCCAAACTTGGCCAAAACCAGTTTGGCTCAGTGGTAGAGTGTCGGTCTGCGGACTGAAAGGTCCCGGGTTTGATTCCGATCAGGGGCATGTGCCTTGGTTGCGGGCATATCCCCAGTGGGGGTGTGCAGGAGGCGGCTGGCTGATGTTTCTCTCTCGTCGACGTTTCTGGCTCTCTATCTCTCTCCCTTCCTCTCTGTAAAAAATCAATAAAATATATTAAAAAAAAAAAAGAGAGAGGCCAGACTTGGACAGGTCAAGGGTTTTATAAGGGTGGTGATGTCACTGCTTTGGCTGACCTTGATTGGTTGGGTGAAGGCTAGGGTCCAGTTACACAAAATGGAGGATAGCTCTGCTGTGCTCCACCCTGCCCCACAGTACAAAATGGAGTCAGGAGTTAGCCTCGCCCACCAGCCCTCTCACTGGTTTGGTTCAGTGGATAGAGCATCGACCTGCGAACTGAAAGATCCTGAGTTCAATTCCCATCAAGGGCACATGCCTGGGTTACGGGCTCGATCCCCAGTAGGGGGCATTCAGGAGGCAGTCGATCAATGATTCTCTCACATCATTGATGTTTCCATCTCTCTCTCCCTCTCCTTTTCTCTCTGAAATTAATAAAAAAATAAAAAATATATAGTTTTATTGATTTCAGAGTCGAAGGGAGAGGAAGAGAGAGATGGAAACATCAATGATGAAACAGGCTAGGGCTTTGGCTTCTTAAAACACTCTGGTAACCCTGAGCTGCCATGTAAGAAGTCTTACTACCCTGAGATTGTCATGGTCTCAAGTGAAGCTCTCCAGATCAACCCATCTGCCTGTTGAATACCACATGGGGCAGATGATGGTGGCCTCCTGCATGCCCCCTATTGGGGATGGAGCCCTTGACTAGAATCGAACCTGGGACCCTGATTCAGTCTGCCACTCTATCCACTGAGCCAAACCAGCTAGGGCTTTAAAATTTTTATTTTTATTTTTTTAAAAATCCTACATAATAATAGAGTAATATGCAAATTAACCATCACTCGGCTACATCCATCAGCCACGCCCACCAGCCGAGCAATCATGCAAATTAGCCCAACAAAGATGGCTGATAATTTGCATATGTGGAGGGTGGGAGGAATGAAGACTGAAGACAGCATAGAAGGAAGAGGAAGGGAAAGTGGAAAGCAAGGCTGCTGCAGCTACTTGGAGGGAAAGCACTGGCAGCACGTGCAGGCTAGGGCGGGGTGAGCAGAGTCAGTGCGAAGCCCCCGGAGGTCATGGGGTCAGCAGGCGCCGTGGGTGGGCGTACAGGGTGAGGCATGTAGTGGTGGCAGCATGCAGCCGCAGAGACGGTGGTGGTGGTGGCCTTGGGCACAGTGGGGCGGGTGGGGCGTGCCCTGCCCGTCCTGCCTGCCCTGCCCTGCCTGCCAGAGTGGGAGAGGTGGTGGTGGTGGTGGGGGGGGGGACGGGAGAGGTGGCGGTGGTGGGCCAGAAGTCTTGCAGGAATATTCCTACAATAGGTCACTAATATTTTTATAATTGTGGAAGGGAAGAGAGATAGAAATATTAATGATGAGAATCACCCTTGGGCTGCCTCCTGCACGATCCCAGGCCCCCAAATCGGAGTTGAGCCTGCAACCCAGGCGTGTGCCCAGACCTGGAATTTAACTGTAACCTCCTGGTTCCTTGGTTGACACTCAACCATTGAGCCACACCAACTGGGTATGATTCCTTGCTCAACCACTCATGTGTTTCCTTGTGTGACATACTTAATGCCAAACTCTTAGTCTTTCCACTTCCCCTGGCTGACTTTTCCCCTACACATGCTCCCTCCCAGTCACTTTAATGAGATTGTCTAGCTCTCTGTGAGCTGCAGACTGATATTAAATCAATATTTAGTAGTTCAGTTCTTTCTTTGTGAATAGGGTACCTACAGTTCATTTCCATTGTATCACTACAATCCACTTAAGGTAACTCTCCACCCTAATTCTGATGAACTTGGAGAGTCTGTCTTTGTGAATAAATCCTGTCAAAAGAGTGCCACCAAACGTAGGGAGGTTTCCTTCCCCGCCCTGCGGGCGTTTGAAGATTAAAGCGCGCCGGCCCACCGCGCCCCTTCCTCTCGGTGATCCTCTTTCCGGCTTCCTCGTGTTGCATGATGGGAGAAATAGTCTACTTCCGCCAGCGGTGCGCGGGGAGCGGCCTCACTCCGAACTCCATTTCCCGGCGTGCCTCTGGCTGGTCGCTCCGCTCGCAGGCGAGAGGCCGGTTCCGCTTGCATCAGCGTGGGATCCGCGGCGAAATGAAACTGTTCGTGAGCGAGGGCGCCCCGGGGACACTGCCCGTGCTGGCCGCGGCGGGGAGGGCCCAGGGCCGGGCGCAGCTGCACATCAGCACCGTGGGCCCTGAAGGTAGGCGGGGTGGCGCTGGGGGCCCGGTGGGTGAGGGGGGCGGGCCCGAGCACGCCGGACTCCGGGTCGCAGTCTCCTTCCCCAATCCCCAACCCCTACCACTCATTCCCGTCTACCTCCTGCCCCACTCTCCTCCGTCACTCCATCCCCTCTTCCTTCCCAGTCACATCTTTCATCCATCACACACACCCCGCCCCAGACACGGTTTTTTTGTTCCTAGGAAACGCTGCGCTCCTCTCCACACACATACGCTCCCATGTGCACGCCTTTCGGCTTACCCGTTTTCATTCCCAGCCAGCTGTTGGGGTGACTCCTAAGCAGTTCTGTTGCCAGTCTTCCCAGTTCTGTTAATTTTGTTCTACCCCTGTTCTGTCGGGTCGTTCTCAGATAATCCCAGTTTCAATTGTTCCAGTTCTCGGCTGCTGCGCTATCCCAGCGCCGCCGCCTCCTCTCCGCAGCACCCATCTGTTGTTTCCAGCTGGCGCACTGCTGGTCCCCCCAGCTCATTCTGGACCCACCCCCTTTCAGTGATCCCGTCTTAGAAGCTCTGGATTGAGACTGCCTAGGCTAAACAATGTGAAGTTGTCCTAAGTTGACAAAGAATTTTGTTTCTTTTTCTTGTTTTTCACGCATTTCTCTCTCTCTCTCATCAGAGTGTGTGGTCCCATTCCTGACCCGGCCTAAGATCCCTGTCTTGCAGCTGGATAATGGCAACTACCTCTTCTCCACCAATGCAATCTGCCGGTCAGTATTGGTACTTGATGCAGGGAGGTGACTAAATCACACAGAGTTTACTGTCCTCTGTGTGGCTGTTTCAGTGTGGAGTGAGAATGGGCCCTTCTTATTCCACCTTCTGTTGTTTTTTTTCTCTGGCAGATACTTCTTTCTGTTATCTGGCTCAGAGCAAGATGACCTCACCAACCAGTGGCTGGAATGGGAAGCAACAGAACTGCAGGTGGTACTGGGACATGGGAGATGGCAGGCAGGCCCTTGCTCTGCTTGGCCATTCTGACCTATGTCCCCCCACATTTTAGCCAGCTTTGTCTGCTTCCCTGTACTATTTGGTGGTCCAAGGCAAGAAGGGGGAAGATGTTCTTGGCCCCATTCGGAGAGCCCTGACTCACATTGACCATAGCTTGAGTCGTCGGAGCTGCCCTTTCCTGGCTGGGGTAAGTTGGGCCTTGAGGTGGGGATTGGGGAAACTGTGTGGATTAAGAATTAAGAAGGAAGACAGTATTCAAACCCCAACACTGCCATCTTCTAGCAGTGTAGCCTTGAAAAAAATTAAATTTCTAATTTTTTTCCCCCCCGTCTTTGAAATGGGTAATATTGGTACCCACCTCATTGGGTTGTTGTGAGGATTAGTGAGATCATTTTAAATGCTTAATAGAGTGCTTGATGTGTACGAAGTGTTAGTTGTTTTTACTACTTTTGAGAAGAAATTGAGTATCTCACTTGTGTACCTTTTTCTTTTGTTTCCCCGACCAAGGAGACAGAATCTGTCGCTGACATTGTGTTGTGGGGAGCCCTGTATCCATTGCTCCAAGACCCAGCCTACCTCCCTGGTGAGCACTGAGCGTATCACTGTTTCCCCAGCCCTAACCGCAGAAGCCTGGTGTAGGGGTTACAGAACGGGCAGTGTATTGTATATAGGTGCCCACCATGAGGTGTAGCTTGATATGGAAGCTCTAGCAGAAAGATGGTAAAGGGAATGGGAAAGCAACTGGAGAAATTTCACGAAGAAGGAAAAAAATCATCCGGCCTTTCCCGGTCTTGCTGATTCCTCTTTTCTCCCAAATCCACAGAAGAGCTGGGTGCCCTGCACAGCTGGTTCCAGACACTGAGTTCTCAGGAGCCATGCCAGCGAGCTGCAGAGACCGTGTTGAAGAAGCAGGGTATCCTGGCCCTCCGGCCCTACCTCCAAAAGCAGCTCCAGCCCAGCTTCCTGGAAGGGAGGGCTGTCAGCAATGAGCCTGAGGTTTGGAAAAGAACTGAGGGGTCCCCAGAAAGCCTTGGTGCCTACAGGGTGGGGTGGTTTGGAGAGGGGCTTGGAGGTTGTTGGGTGAGTTTCTGTATTCCGTGGGCCCTCCTCACCTGGTAAGGGATTCTATCCACTCTTCATAGGAGGAGGAACTGGCCACCCTGACTGAGGAGGAGATCGCCATCGCCGTCACTGCTTGGAAGAAGGGCCTGGGGAACTTGCCTCCCCTTCGGCCAAAGCAGAAGCCAGTGTGAGTAGGCACAGATGAGTGGGGCTTGATTTTTTCAATGGAGGTTGTTGATAAAATCAACACCTGCCTGCCTGGTCCCCTCTGCTGCTGATTTCTTTCATTTTCTATCCTTTCCTTTTTATTCTCAGACCCCTATCTCTCTTTTTATTGTTGACATCTTTTTTTAAAGTTTATTCTCTCTTGGTTTGTAATTTTGGACACTCTTCATCAGTCCCACTGCACCCGTGTTTCAGTTATTCTTTACCTATAGATACCACCTAAATCTGTTTTTTTCCAGTCCAGATCTTTACTCTGAACTCAACATTATTTGTCAGACTGAATCCTCCACCCCACAGGCATTGCAAACTCAGCATGTGCAAGAGCAAACCAGTTATCTTCCCTGTCAGCTTCCCTCCTCTATTCATGTGCTTTAGCAATTGACACCCCTCAACCCCCACTTAAAAATCTAAGCCAGAAATTTTGTTGTTATCTGTACTCTTTTCTCATCCCCTCCTCCTATATCACTTATTCCATTACCAAATCATTGATTCTAACTCCTAAGTAGTCCTTGAATCAATCCCTTCTTTCTCTTCTCACAACTGCTCCCTGACATCAAACCTACTACCTCTCACATTCTCTTTCCCTACACTGTCACCGGAATGAGTACTTAAAACTACATATATTATCTCACCCTCCTTTTTTGAATTCCTTTGTGTAGTTCACAAGATCATTCAAGATTTAGTCCCTGCCGGAGGCTTCATATTTTGTCACTGTCCTACTACACTGAGACAATATACACACACATACCTTTGAAGGAAGACTTCAGATGTACATGACTGTCTGACGTAGACTAGATCTGTGTCTGGGTATCTTATGACTTCCAGTCCCTTTTGGCCCTTGCGTCTCCTCCATGACCTGTTCTTTTCTTTCCTCACCAGGTTGCCTGTGGCTGGGGAAAGGAATGTGCTCATCACCAGCGCCCTTCCTTATGTCAACAATGTGCCCCATCTTGGAAACATCATTGGTTGCGTGCTCAGTGCTGACGTCTTTGCCAGGTGGAGCTAACTGCTGCAGGGAAGACCCGAGGGAGCCATGGGTCCCAAAGAATAGGATGCCCCAAGGGTGGAGGCTGGGTAGGTCCAAGGGACATGGGGGGCGGCTGATCATCATATTCTCTTCCAGGTACTCCCGCCTCCGCCAGTGGAACACCCTCTATCTGTGTGGGACAGATGAGTATGGTACAGCCACAGAGACCAAGGCTATGGAGGAGGGTCTCACCCCCCAGGAGATCTGTGACAAGTACCATGTCATCCATGCTGACATTTACCGCTGGTTTAATATCTCCTTCGATATTTTTGGTCGCACCACCACTCCACAACAGACGGAGTAAGTTTACTCTGATCAGGAGAAATGGAGGGTGAAGGCTGGGGCTGGGGACCATGAGAATATCCGGGAGACAGAGGAACCAAGATGGTTGTCTAGGCAATCCCCCTAAATGTAGGACATGAATATTGCCCTGAAATGTATTCCAAGCATTATTAAGGCAATTCAGTGTGGTCAGGTTCTAAAGGAGCAAGTAAGGGAGGTAAGAGGCAGGATGGAGGCTTGTGGGAAGTATACCTTTCTGCTACCACTTCCCTTTCCTTCCCTGGCTGCCACAGAGTCTGAGCACATTCCTTCTCACTCCTGTGGGTGTTTATAGCAAATATGCTTTCTTCTGTTACCTGGTAATTCATCCCTATAAAACCTCTGCATGGTAGACAGGCTGTCAGCTAATAGTGCGGTGTGGTTGAACTGATTTCATTTTTAGGACACAGTTCTATTCTTTTGGAGATTTTTGTTAATGGAGAATACAAAACAGAGCCTGTATTTGACAAATTCTAAAATGGCAAGGGAAGAGATTGTATGAGGGGTTGAAGAATATGTGTAAGGGGTCTGGGCCATCTAGTCAGACTCCCTAAAGATGACTAGATGACCTTTGCCTTGAAGGGTCTTCTGCCTGATTTCTTTGGCATTTGGACTAAATGAGTTTGCGTCCTGGGTAGAGTGGCAGGAGGGAGGGTTGCACCCCTTTTTCTGACTTCTCTGACCTGTCCCACCCCTGTCCCTTGCTCACCTCACCAGAATCACACAGGACATCTTTCAGCGTCTGTGGGACCGAGGTTTTGTGCTGCAAGATACAGTGGAGCAACTGCGGTGTGAGCATTGCTCCCGCTTCCTGGCTGACCGCTTTGTGGAGGGGGTGTGTCCCTTCTGTGGCTACGAGGAGGCCCGGGGTGACCAGTGTGACAAGTGTGGCAAGCTCATCAATGCCATAGAGCTCAAGGTGAGTGGGAGGTTTCATAGGAGCCCAGAAGGAGACAATCTCTATTCTTTTTTTAAATTAATTGATTTTATAATAGAAAGAGAAGGGAATGGGGAGTGGGGGGAAGAAACATTGATTTATTTTCCCACTTATTTATGCATTCATTTGTTGATTCTTATATGTGCTCTGACTGGGGATCAAGTCTTGGGGTGTCAGGATGATGCTCTAACCAGCTGAGTTATTTGGCCAGGGCAACAATCTCCAATAAGGGGTTCCCAATCTTGTCCCACTCAGGATTTTTGTTTTAGCATTCGAGACCTTTGACCAGTGGTTCTTTCTACTCCATCTCAGCAACTCACCATTCAGCTTGTTAGATAATAACTAAATGAACATTTACTCTGCTTAACATGTGCTAGGAAATTGAATTTATATTTCTCTACTTTTGCTTCTGTTTCAGACCACCTTCTATAAATACTCCCTGTTTACTCATTTATTATTTTATTCATTATTGATTTCAGAGAAGGGAGAAGGAGAGAAAAAAACATCAATGATGAGAGAGAACCATTGATTAGCTGCCTCCTGCATGCCCCACACCAGGGAACAAGCCTGCAACACAGGCATGTGCCCTGACCGGGGATTGAACCCTGACCTCTTGACTCATAGGTCGATGCTCAGCCACTGAACCATGCTGTTGGGCTATTCATTCTTTCAACAACTTTTTTGGGGGTCTTATGATAGGGAAGTCACAGTTCTAGGTGCTAGGATGTGGCAGTGAACAAGACAGACTTATTAGTGTGGGGAGGAGACTAAAGACGAAGTAATTATGGAATAAACTGCCAGGAAGATGTGATATAGAGTGACTTTTGGGGGAAGGTAGGTGATTAGGGAAGGCATCGCCGCCCAGGAGGTAACATTTGAACTGAGAGTTTAACTGAAGAATGAGAGGGAGCAAGCCAGGCTATGAGAGTGAGGTTAAGAGTGTTAACAAGCAGAGAGGAGAGGAAATGCAAAGGCAGAATTGAAAAGGCCAGTATAGCTGTAGCTATACTGGGAGGGTGGATTGAGATAAGGTCAGGTTACCAGGGCCTACTAAGCCATTGTGGGAGTTGAATGGCAAGCTGCTCTGTGGAAAATGGATGGGAGGGAAGCATGAAAGTTTGGAGACTAGCGTGATAGCACCAAAATGCGATAATGTTTCTCCAACTAGATTAATAGCAGTAGAAATGGGGATGGAGAAGAACCTTGAGATATATTGTGGAGGCAGACTGTAGAATTAGATAGACTGGAATTCTGGGTGATGGGAAAATCAAGGAAATGATGACTATTAAGTTTTTGACTTGAGCTGCTACAAACATGGGCATGATTAGATGAAAAACATGCTTTCTGGTGGAATCTATTTGGATTTATTAAATTTGAGATTCCTTGCCCTGTCTGGTGTGATTAGAGCATAGGCCAGAGCATTGAAGGATCACAGATTTGATTTCTGGTCAAGGGCACATACCTGGTTTTGTAGGTTTGATCCCGGCCCCAGTTAGGGCACAGGCAGGAGGCAGCCGATCAATGTGTCTCTCTCATATTCATGTTTCTCTCCCCCCTTCCTCCCTCCCACTCTCTCTAAAAATCAATGAAAGAAATATCTTCAGGTGAGGATTAACAACAATAACAAATTGAGCTGCCTCCTAGACACCCAAGGAGCAGTGAGGTAGTTTGATAGAGGAATGTGGAGTTCAGGAGAGAAGTCCTGAGTTATAATTTCTCACTTCCAAAAATTTAGATCAAAACTTATTTGGGCCGGGACCGGTTTGGCTCAATGGATAGAGCGTCGGCTTGGGGACTGAAAGGTCCCGGGTTCGATTCTGGTCAAGGGCATGTACCCTGGTTGCGGGCATATCCCCAGTAGGGGGTGTGCAAGAGGCAGCTGATCGATGACACTCTCTCATTGATGTTTCTAACTCTCTATCTCTCTCCCTTCCTCTCTGTACAAAATCAATAAAATATATTTTAAAAAAAAACAAAACCTTATTTGGAAGCTTTCACTGATTAGCCCCACCTAACTGTTCACTCCTTTAGTCCTCACCTTTCTGGGTTTGTATATCAACTTGTACCTTGAGAATAAGTATTTCTTGACATTTTGCTTCGTGTAGGCCTGCACTTACCTCCCATGCGAGCCCCCTCTCCCTAACTTGATTGTAACTTCCGTAGGAGAGCAGCTGTGTGTCTTCTTTTCCATCATTCCTGCCTCTCCTTACCCAGCTGCACACAGTGCAGTGCTCTGAGAATGCTGTTTCCTGTCCTCTGGAGTGATAGGACAGAGACATGAAACTCTTGAGTACCAAATGTGCTGCCACGTGGACCTGAGTCTCCCAAGTTCACCGGAGGCCCAGTAGTTGATGAGTTGGCTGGGTGTGAGTATGAGGCTCAGCTAGATGGCACACTGGGGAGCTCATCCCTTGATGCCTCTCCCCTTGCCTGGACAGTTCCACGTGACCTGCAGGCCTGATCCTGACTCGTCTTGGGTCACACTTTCTTTCTCTTGAATTTTCCTTCGCAGAAGCCTCAGTGTAAAGTCTGCCGATCATGCCCTGTGGTGAGATCCTCGCGGCACCTGTTTCTGGACTTGCCCAAGGTAAGTGGGCCTTTCCCTCAACCTGGTCTGCATGGCCTTTTCTGCCCCCTCAGCCTCAGCCACAGATCTATTCCACATTACTCTCAAATGTTTTTGATTTCTGTTTTAAAGTTATACTTATAAAAATACATAACAAGTGAATGGGCCCAAAGTGAAAGGCCCAGGCCCACTAAACCCCAGGCTTGCTTACCAGAGGTATTTTACTCCTTTGTGCCTATTCAGAAATATTGTAGGCATGTGAATGAACTCTACATATATGTCCTCTGTACTCTTAAATATTTTTTTAATATGTTTTTATTGACTTTAGAGGGAGTGGAAGAGGGAGAGAGAATAGAAACATCAATGATGAGAGAGAATCATTGATCGGCTGTCTCCTGAATGCCCTCTACTGGAAATCTAGCTTGCAACCCAGGCATGTGCCCTGACTAGGAATCAAACCATGACCTCCTGGTTCATAAGTCGATGCTTAACCACTGAGCCACACCAGCTGGACTACATTTAGTTTTTTATATCTCTTAGTTTCCTTTCATCTGAAACAGTTCCCCAGCCTTTCTTTATCTTTTATGACAGGGGTGGGGAACATCCGGCCCGCAGGCTGTATAAGACCCAAAAGACCCAAGAAATCATTTAGTCTGGCCCTGCCAAGGCATTAGGGGTGAGTTATTAAATGTTTGGCCAAATATAACAGGCTAATTTTAAGTTGATAATTTTGTATGGCCCACAAATGGCTTTATAAATATCCAAATGGTCCTTGGCAGAAAAATGATTTGTCACCCCTGACCTAATAGGATGTTCTGGAAATCATTCCATATCACTTCATAACGATCATCATTATTTAGTTGTTTTCTTTTTCTTCTTTTTTTGTTAATCCTCACTTGAGGATATTTTTTTCATTGATTTTTAGAGAGAGTGGAAGGGAGGGGGAGAGACACATAGACTTGTTGCCTCCTGCATGCACCCTGACCAGAGCTGGGGATTGAGCCTGCATCTGAGGTATGTGCCCTTGTCTGGAATCAAACCTGAGACACTTCAGTTTGTATGCTGACACTTAGCCACTGAACCACACTGGCTACTGCAGTTGTTTGTTTAAACAGCTACATACAACTACATTTGTGTAGGTTCCATAGTTTATATAACCAGTTTTCTGGGTTCTCCATTTAGGTAGTTCCCAGTACAGTAGGTCCTTGAATAACGTTTTGATCAATGTTTTGTTACAAGGTTGATTAGATGCGGTAGAAACTTAACTCTTGTTTATATCAATTAGCTTGTGGTAAAAATTGGTTTTGTTATATGTCATTTCACTGAAAGCTGCAGAACCTATCAGCGTTAAGTGAGGGCTTACTGTATTTTGCAATTGCAAATGACATTGCAGTAGATAAATGTTCCATCAAATATAACAAGCACATTTTTTTTTTGTATTATATCTTCAGGATAATTTCCTTAAAAGTGATCTCTTGCTGTGTCAAGAGTAAATGAATATGTAGTTTATTGTCAAATTTTCTTTAATAAGTGTTATTCCATGTTTGCCTTCTCATCAGCTATCTGTGAGTGCTGTTTGACTCATAGCCTTGCCAATGGAGTATATTGTCAGGCTTTGGAAATTGTGGTATTTCATTGGATGAGTCACATAAACCATCCATTAAAAAAGTTTACTTTTGTTTTTCTGCTTACAAGTGATAAAAGCTTGTTTTTAAAATTTCAGCTAGAAATAAATGGTATAATGTGTATGTTCCCCATAATCCCATCTAAAAAAAAGTACTGACACATATTTTCCTTCAAAAATTTTCTGGCCCTAGCTGATTTGACTCAGTGAATAGAGTGTCACCCTGCGGACTGAAGGGTCCTGGGTTCAATTCCGGTCAAGGGCATGTACCTTGGTTGCAGGCTCCTCTCTGGCCCAGGCCCTGGTCAGGGTGCGTGCAGGAGGCAACCAATTGATGTGTTTCTCTCATATCAGTGTTTCTGTCTGTCTTTCCTTCTCTCTGTCACTTTTACAAAAATTGGTGGGAAAATATCCTCCAATGAGGAGTTAAAAAAAATTTTTCCCCTTGGGCTTGCCCAGCCTGTGTGGCTCAGTGTTTGAGCATCTACCCATGCACCTAGAGGTCACCAGTTTGATTTCTGGTCAGGACATGTGCTTGGGTTACAGGCTTTATCTCCAGTAGGGAGCATGCAGGAAACAGCTGGTTGATGTGTCTTTCTTATTAATGTTTCTATCTCTCTTCCTCTCTCTCTATAATCAATAAAAAATATATTTTAAAAAATTTCTGGGCTTATGTTAGTCTATGTGTTGATATTTATTTATTTATTTATTTATATTGATTTCAGAGAAGAAGGGAGGAGAGACAGAAACATCAAAGATGAGAATCTTTGATTGGCTGCCTCCTACACGCCCCTACTGGGGATCAAGCCCACAACCCAGACATGTGTCTTTGGTCGGAATCCAACCTTGGACCCTTCAGTGTGTAGGCTGACGCTCTCTCTACCCACTGAGCCAAGCCGGCTGATATTTATTTTTATAGTAATAGAATTACACTCTGTTGTTTTGTAGTTTGTTTAATTTAATTAGTAATGAATCTTGGAGGTCTATATATGTCAATTACATGTAGATCTCCTTAATCTTTTTAATGGGCTTATGAGTATTTTATTGTATCGATGCACCATATCTTCTTTACTTTTAATTTTTTGCTATGATGAACAGTGCACTTCTTTATATACACTCTTGTGTGAATATTTCCATTGAAAAAAATTCTAGAAGTGGAATTGATATGTCAAAGTCATGAGTCTTTTAATTTTAATATATCGCCAGACTAGTCCAAAAAGGTTGCACATATTTACCCTTATGCAAACTGTGTATGAGGCTTTTCTAAGTCGACCTCTGTCTCTGCCTTCTCAGCTGGAAGACCGACTTGAGGAGTGGTTGGAGAAGACTGTGCCTGGCAGTGACTGGACACCCAATGCCCGATTCATCATTCGTTCTTGGCTTCGGGACGGCCTCAAGCCACGTTGCATAACCCGAGACCTCAAATGGGGAACCCCTGTACCCTTAGAAGGTTTTGAGGACAAGGTAAGAATCCCATGCTTTACTCGTATCTCTTATTATTCAGCCTTGAGACCCTGGGCTAACATAATACACTGTTGTCTATATCTTGTTTAACTGGGTTTCCCATTAAAAAAAAAAAAATGAATTTATTGGGGTTCCATAGGTCAATAAAATTATATAGGTATCAAGTATATTCGCAATGTGTTTTTGTTTTTGTTTTTTTATCCTACCGTGTCTCTCCAGGTATTCTATGTCTGGTTTGATGCCACATTTGGATACATATCAATCACCGCCAACTACACAGACCAATGGGAGAGGTGGTGGAAGAATCCAGAGCAAGTAAGCAGTTCTTGGTTAGCCTGCCTGTGGGGAGGGTGCATGCGTATATGTGTGTTGAGGGGGAGTAGGATTGGGTATTTGTTCTTTCTGGGGTCTTTGAAGAAGGTCTCAGAAGCTTTGTCTTCCAACTATATTCTATAGGTGAACCTCTACCAGTTCATGGCCAAAGACAATGTTCCCTTTCACGGGTTAGTCTTTCCTTGTTCTGCCCTAGGAGCTGAGGACAACTACACCTTGGTCAGCCATCTCATTGCTACAGGTACCTGGAAGCCAGACTAGGAATATTCCTAGGGAATGAGGGCTGAAGTGATACTTGGAAGGTTTTGGAAAGGTGCTAAGTCTTGAGTTAGGAGTTGAGATGAAATAGGAAATAATTTGAACATGAGAACTCAGCTTAGGAGGAAACAAGAACCTGAAGAAAAAAGCAAGTGTCAAAAGTTAAAACTTTGTAATGAATAGAAGCAAGCGGAGGGGAGAGGGCGGGGGAGGCAGAATCTCCCAAGTTCGATCCAGGCCAGCTACTCAAAAAGTGTACCCATAGTTGAGTTCAAAGGAGAGTCAGTAGGTCAGAGAGGGAAGAAAGTGATTTGAGCAGATGGTTCTCATTCATTCTCTTTCTCTGTCCAGAGTATCTGAATTATGAGGATGGGAAATTCTCTAAGAGCCGGGGTGTAGGAGTGTTTGGGGACATGGCCCAGGACACAGGGATTCCTGCTGACATCTGGCGCTTCTACCTGCTGTACATTCGGCCTGAGGGCCAGGACAGTGCCTTCTCCTGGACAGATATGTTACTGAAGAATAATTCTGAGCTGCTTAACAACCTGGGAAACTTCATCAATAGGTAGGACTTGGTGAGGGATCAGTCAGTAGATGAACTGGGCTGGTGCTAACTCTGCTCCATGAAGTGGGAAAGATGGGAATGAAGAGATGCCTAGTAAATGGGCAGGAGGCTGGGAGGGTGAGGAGGATAATGTGGAAAGTGGATTTCTGTTAATTAGGACTTGCTCCTAGAACATAATAGGTTATGTATGCTTGGGGGAAGTTGGTTGTAGAAATGTGACTTAGCAAAGTTGGTCACAAAGTTTAGTAAATTCTCTTACTAATGTTCTTTGCAAAATTGAAAATGTGCCTCCCCCCTCTCCCCCCCCCCCAAAGAAAAAAAAAGTTAACTTGCATGCATTTGAAAAATTTAACCGAGGAAAGGGTTTATTTTAGTGTAGAGGTAGGAGATTTCTACTGTACTCTGGAGTTTTTGTTACTTGAGCTCAATTTCACTTTTGGCCGTATGTCAGCTATTCTGCAAACTAAAGAAATATCCTTAATGGCTACCTACCCTTTCAGGTTTGGTCGTTAATCACTTTAACAGATAGTCCCTATTAGAGTATTTGATAGCAATGTACATATATTAGAACATGATTGTTATGAGTGTGGATTTTTAAAAATAAAACGAACAGTTGCTTAACTTTATCAGGTTTCTTTAAACAAGGGATAATGTATGTGAAATGTCTGTTATGTGCAGTTATATTCTTAGGGGAGAGAATAAGGAATTACTTTGTTAAGCTTTGCCTTCCAGCTTGAAGGAGCCAGGAAGTATCAGTTCTGAAAGAATGTAGAATTAGAAATAAAAGGCATCCAAATTGGAAAAGAAGTAAAGTTATCCTTATTTGCAGATGACATGAAAGAATATAGAATTAAGAAAATCAGATCAGCCAAGACCGGTTTGGCTCAATGGATAGAGTGTCGGCTTGGGGACTGAAAGGTCCCGGGTTTGATTCCGGTCAAGGGCATGTACCTTGGTTGCGGGCATATCCCCAGTAGGGGGTGTGCAAGAGGCAGCTGGTCAATGACTCTCTCATCGATGTTTCTAGCTATCTCTCTCCCTTCCTCTCTGTACAAAACCAATAAAATATATTTAAAAAAAGAAAAAGAAAAAAAAGAAAATCAGATCAAATTTCTATACGGAGACTGGGAAATTACTCTTTTTTTCTCTCCCCTCTCCTTCCCTTACTCCTATCAAGAGCTGGCATGTTTGTGTCTAAGTTTTTTGGGGGTTATGTGCCCGAGATGGTGCTTACCTCTGATGATCAGCGCCTGCTGGCCCACGTCACCCTGGAGCTACAGCACTATCACCAGCTTCTAGAGAAGGTTCGGTAAGTAACCTGCACCTGTCTCATCTGAGTGGGCTGCTGGCATGTTGAGAACCCCATACTGGTCCCTCCAGGACCTTATACCTTGGCCTGCCTCCCCCCTTCCCAGGATCCGGGATGCCTTACGCAGTATCCTCACCATCTCTCGTTATGGCAACCAGTACATTCAGGTTAACGAACCCTGGAAGCGGATTAAAGGCAACGAGGCTGACAGGTAGGTAAGGAGGTGGGGTTGGCTGCAGGGATAAAGTAGGCTGTGTCCTCTGAGAAGTCCTGACTAATGCCTCTTTTCACCTAGGCAGCGGGCAGGGACGGTGACAGGCCTGGCGGTGAACATAGCTGCTTTGCTGTCCACCATGCTCCAGCCTTACATGCCTACGGTTAGCTCTACGATTGCGGCCCAGCTGCAGCTCCCACCTCCAGCCTGCAGCACCCTGCCCATGGACTTCCTGTGTATCTTACCAGCAGGACACCAGATTGGCACAGTAGGTCTTTGAGGATCAGAAGAGCCATTGTCTCTTACTAGCAAAATGTCTACATTTGCCATGCAGTCTTCGGGAAGGGTCAGAGGACTTACTTTGGGCATGGGGCTTTCACAGCTACTCTCTGAAGGCCTTCAGCACCTCTCCCCACTTTGCACTTAGGCTTGTTTCTGATATAAAATCCTTGGTGCTGGCTCACAAGCCCAGTGTTATCTGTAGCCCATATTTTCCATCATCCTTCATATCAGAACCCAGTACATGATACATGAAACTGATATACAGTAGATGAAATAATGCCATGGTCACTTGGTCTCCATAAGGCTAACAGGCAGTGAGCTGTGAGAATACAGGGTAGCCATTTCCCCTTTGACACAAGATGATCAAGTAAGTCCACCTTTAAACTTGCATCATTTAGTCTTGGGCCATATGAATTCTTAGGTTTTTCATAGTGACTGCTAGGGGTTTTCCTGTGTTCTTTACTGAAATCAGTGATACACTCAAGCTTGTAAAGCATTTAGACTCCCTGAATGTCAGTGATCGGGGTTAGAGGGGCCCTCTGTATAGTCTGATAGAGTTTATACCTAATCAGTGAGTGATTCTGGATTTCTTTTTTCTTATAGGTCAGTCCGTTGTTCCAAAAATTGGAAAATGACCAGATTGAAAATTTGAGGCAGCGCTTCGGTGGGGGCCAGGTGAGAAAGCTAGACTGTGCTCTCACCCAGCAGTAGCCACAGTGCCATCTCCTAAGTGTCCCTAAGTAGTCCTCACTCATCACTCTTTCCACCTTTTGGCCCTGCTACTTCCTCACTTAAAGTTTTTCTTTCCTGTCTTAGCTAGAAGAGTCCCCGATGTTAAAGGTAATAACTTTCCTCAAGATGTTTATAAAACTTGAGGTTGGGGAATATTTATGGTAGCAGGTGATAATTCTGTTGTTATTCTCCAGGCAAAAGTGTCTCCCAAACCAGCAGTTGTGGAGACAGCTGGACCACAGCAGATACAAGTGCTGATGGATGAAGTGACAAAACAGGTATGAAGTTTGAATCCTATGTGGGAGACCAGGAATCTTGAATCCTACCTAGGTCCTTTCCATCTCACTATTGTTTTATTCCCTTCCCTCCCGCCCCCCTTCTCTTAGGGCAACATTGTCCGAGAGCTGAAAGCACAAAAGGCAGACAAGAACCAGATTGCTGCAGAAGTTGCTAAACTCTTGGATCTGAAGAAGCAGTTGGCTCTAGCTGAAGGAAAACCTCTTGAAACCCCTAAAGGCAAGAAGAAAAAGTGAAAGTGAGAACCTGGCTTATAGAGTCACTTTAATGGATATGGACAGTAGTAAATAAATATGCAATCTCTATGTACATGCTGAGACCCTTTCTTGTCTACCCAGAGCTTTCCCTCTACTGTAGGTGGTTTAGTAGCCACTACTGGGAAAAGATGGTTCTGGCTCAAGGGGGAAGTGATGGTCCCAAGGGTTCATGCTTGATGCAGATTGACCATTCGGTCAATCAGAGCTCGGCGAGTCACCTCCACTTCTCTGGTCAGACGCTCGATTTCCTGCTTGAGCCGTTCATTCTCCTCAGCTAGCTGTGCCACTTTCCTTTCATTCTCTTGTTCTTTATCCTTCATGCGTTGCTTTCCAGCCCGGGCTGGGGATTGACCACTCCGTTTCCTTTTCCTGTGTCTTCCTTGGTCTTCCTCTTCTTCCTCCTGAGCCGGAGAGCTCTGACTGGAATCTAGAGAGCAAGGGCTCTGGAAGGCGCTTGTGACCTCTGCTGGTCCTGGCTCCTCAGCCAGCCAAGCCAGAGAGGCAGGGTCAAGCGTGGTGAAGGTTTTTGATTCTTCCTTCAAGGGAATGAGGAAAGGTTGGCACTATTAGTTGAGATGGGAAAATTAGCATCCCATCCCCACCCCCAGCTTTATGTATAGCATTCTCACCTCCTCATTTCCAGGGGGTGAGACATAGGCACGCCCATTTTCATCTGAGGACAGCACCTCCTGTAGGTCCTCATACCAGGCTTCCAGCTCCCAGCTGGACAGTGTCCCGAAGGAGAAAGGCAAAGACTCGGCTGCCATTGCTGCAGCTTGATCAGGCTCTGAAAAAGGATATACTTAGAATAGTGGGGAAGGGAGGTGGAATGAGCACCACAAAGCAGTCAAACAGTTTATACTGCCATTTGGCAAACTGGTCTGCTGCCAGTTTTTGCAATAAAGTTTTTTTTTTTTTTTTTAAATATATTTTATTGATTTTTTTTTTTTACAATTAGGAAGAGAGAGGGATAGAGAGTTAGAAACATCAAAGAGAGAATCATCGATCAGCCTCCTCCTGCACATCCCCTACTGGGGATGCACCCGCAACCAACGTACATGCCCTTGACTGGAATCGAACCCAGGACCCTTCAGTCCACAGGCTGATGCTGTATCCACTGAGCCAAACCGGTTTTGGCTGCAGTAAAGTTTTATTGGAACAAGGACACATCTATTGATTTACACATTTTTTTTATGGCTACTTTTATGCTACAATAGTGGAGATGACTATTTCTGACAAATTGTGTGGCTCTCATATCTAAAACATTTACTGTCTGGCCCTTTAAAATTTACCAACCCCTGGTCTATACTAATATTCCCTCCTTGCTTTTGCCCAGCACTTGAAGAAGTGCCTGGGTAGACTTTCTTACGGGACTGTAGTAAAAGCTGCCCGCCATAGTTGGTTTGGTTTAGTGGATAGAGCATCAGCCTGACGACTGAAGGATCCCAAGTTTGATTCCAGTCAAGGGCACATAGCTTGGTTCCAAGTTCCTTGACCCTGGTTGTGTGTGTGTAGGAGGCAACCAATTGATGTGTCTCTTTCACATTGATGTTTCTGTCTCTCCCCTCTCCCTGTCACTCTCTCTAAAAATCAATGGAAAAATAGCCTTGAGTGAAAATTAACAATAACAAAAAAGTTAGCCGCCCTGAGAAACTCCATTGGTAGTTTCCAGGGGCAATTACCACATCAGTTGTGCTCCTTTTTCCTGTGAAGAGTTTATAGATATTTATGTTACGATTCATAACAGTAGCAAAATTACAGTTATGAAGTAGCAACGAAAATAATTTTATGGTTGGGGTCAACACAACATGAGGAACTGATTTAAAGGGTTGCAGCATTAGAAAGGTTGAGAACCACTTCTAAAGGAAAGATAAACAGCATCTTGTAGGAGTTGGTTTTGGGAAAGGGTTGGTTAGGTTTACCTGCTTTCAGGTGTGGTGATGTATGAAGATACACTTCCTTCTTGAACACTGTGGGGAATCAAAGGTAAATATGTTAACCATTTTTGGAAGAGGGAGAGCCATGTTCTTTTATCTCCAGCATCCTATTGATCGGCTCTTACTTCCTGTCTTATAGAGTGTGGATAGTTAACAGTCCCAGTAGCCATTTTCAAGGACAGAGGAGAGCCTAATTTCCTTTATTTTTAGTTGTTGACATTTGTAGTCCTGATTGCATAATAGGAAAGCCCTGGCCATCTCAGCTTTCTCTAAATTCAAGGCAGGCTTCAAACCTGCCAAGGTAAGTAAGGACTACACTACAGGGAAGGGAGCAAATCAAGTGACATTTTCCTAATTCCATTTCCACACTGATAGCCTCCAAATTGTACAATGCCGGTATAGACCTCTAACTCTGTTATCTTAACTGCTTGCTTGCTGTCTGCTTTTGGATGTCTAATAGGCATCTCAGACTTCATATGTCTAAAAACAAACTCCTGCCAATCTTCCCCTTCCAAAGTTTTCCCTATCTTGGTAAATGGCAATTCTAGTAGCTTTGTATCTTCATTGATTCCTCTCCTCTTATACCTCACAATCCAATCCAAATCACCAGCAACATTTCTTAACTCATTCTTCAGAAACCCAGAATCTAATTCTTCCCAGTTCCATTGCTACTATCAAGTTACTATCTCCCTTGGATGACTGCAGTTTCCCAGTTTCTGCTCTTAACAAGGGTTCTTGAGTCTATTCACAACACGGCAACCACAGTGGGCCTTTTAAAACTTAAAATCAGGTCATGCCCTTCTTCTGTTCAAAATTACCAGTGACTTCTACTTTCACACACACTAAAGGCTAATATCCTTAACGTGGGTTAGGAGAACCCACACAGTCTGCTCCTTCTTTGCCCCGGATTTCTCATTGACCATTCTCCTTCTTCTCACTCTAGTCCAGCCAACTGGCCTGTTCTCTAAAGATACTATGCCTGCTCCCACCTCAGGACCTCTGTTCTTACTGTCCCTTCTGGAAAGCTCTCCCACATACCTCCATAGCTTACTGCTGCACCTCTTTCAGGTTTTTCATTTAATGGTCATTTCAGTGAGGAAATCCCCGATCACCCAATGTAAACTTAACCCTCACCCAAAGCATTCTCTACCCTTTCGTTCATTAGTTTTCTCTGGCACTTATCTGTTTACTGTCTGCCTCATCCCACTGAACTAGAAGCTCTGAGAGCACAATTTTTTTTCTCTTATTCATGGGTGTATCCTGGGCCCAAAACTGCACATAGTAGGTGCTTGTTAGGAATGGATAAATTCTCCCCAATCTCTCTTAAAGGGAAGGGAGGGTGAAGCCAGAAGTAGAGCAGCATCTGCCTATCTCTGGGGACTGTAGATGCAATATCGCCCAGAGTGTTTCTCTGCAGGACTGTCCTCCCTGGGGAACCATCCTTGCCTTCCAGAGCCTGAAAGGTGGCTTTCATCAGCAGTGGAGCTCCAGGCCAGAGGGCTGTTGAGCCAAACGGGACTGGCCTGATGCAATGGTTACACAGCGATTAGTTGGAGCCAGGACAGGGAGAAAGAGGCAGGGACCACTCTCAGGAGAAGGACCATGCACTGGGGAGACCCCCAAATGACTTCCCACTCTTAAGAGATACAGGATGCTCTCTTGTGCAGGAGGCCCAGGAACCTCTGGGGGAAAGTAAAAAAAATCTATCTCCTCTCCCTGGCCATGGGCATCCTTCCTCCCAGGCTGTGTCAGTTTGCCGAAGGTGCAGAATGGCTGTCCCGTGTAAGGTTCCAGAGCCCTACTATCAACGTGGCCGGGCTGGCACTGAGATGCCGCTGCCTCCGACACGGGACTAGGGGTGGGGCTGTGGTGGCCAAGCCAAGGCAGCGGCCTAAGCTACGGCCCAACAGGCTTCTGGACGTGGGGGTGTGTCTTGCTGCAACGCCTCCCACCACCAGACTGGCCTAACGCGGAGGCCTGAGGTCAGCATCTGCAGAGAACAGAATAACTCTCCTGAGGGGCAGCCGGGCCCCTTCGCCCCAGGCAGGGGTGAGTGATGCTGTCGTCCGTAACATGTGAAGCAGGGTCTGGAACACCTCTCCAGAATAAAAAAATCCTCCCCATCTCTCCTTCGGACCGTCACTAACTTCATTACGGAGGGGGTGATGCCACATCCTGAAGAGGAAATGCCCCGACTTTGAGGGGACAACGTCGCAAAGATGGAAGAGTGAAAGGGAGATGTACTCACCTCTCGCCTCAGATTGCGGCTCTGATTTTGGCTCTGTCGCTGCCACCCGTTCATCTTCAACATGGTATGCACTGTGCCTTAGACCCGAGTCTCTGACCTCGGTATCCCCCCAAGCAGTGATCTTTTAACAGGACCTTGTCCTCCTCTCGGGGGCGGACCCAGAAGCCCACCAATCAGAAAGCGGCACGCCAGTTTTGGCTCCGCCCCACCCCTCACATCCGCCACTCAGGAGGCCCGCGGCCCCGCCCCCATCGCTCCCTCCCGCTCGGGGGTCCAGTTCTGGTCGGACCCGGAAGTGGCTCTGGGTCACGAGGCTCCGCCGAGGAGGTGAGTGAGTCATGCGCGCGCGCGGAGGGGGAGAGCTGGCAGGGGGAGGGGAGGGAAGGGGGGCGGGAATGATGCAATGTTTGGCAACCCGTCGGTGCGCGCACGCGCAGGGGACTACGAGGGAGGTGGGAGGTGCGGGAGGGGGGAAGAGGGGAGAGGCGGGGCGCCAGCTCCTAGCATCCTACGGCCCCAACGGCTGGCAACCGAAGCTGCCCCTAGGCTGACGAGTGAACCCTCCCTGTGGCTTATCGTAGGGGTTCTCGGTCCGCCCACCTGGCCTTAGCCCCCGTTTTACCTTCGCCATCAAGGGCTCCCATTTTCCTCGGCTCCCCTTCCAGCTCATAATGGGCACAAAGCCTTTTAAACCTCCTTCCTTTGAAAGTTTGCAGCCGTCTGCCAGGGTTGTCTGCATCTCGAATCTTCTTAAAGGGGTCAGATCTTTTAGCCCCTAACTACCCCAAAAAGGAGCCGAGGTACTTGAATCCCCTTGGTAGTCACTTTCAGAAGAGTACCCTGAACTCGTTTTGATAGTTTCTAATGAGTTCTCAGCATGCCAGAAATCATGCTCTTTTCCTGACCGGTCGGAGTCCGTTTCCCCACTCATCTTTCCTCATGGCGCTCCGGTGCCCTTCACCAAAGACCAAGACCCGCCCTTTTCACTGTTCCAGACAGTAAGTCCTGTGACTCCCTAATGCGAGGAGCTGGGCATAGGCCTCCTGCCTCCTAGGTGTTTGGGCCGCAGTAGAGTCTTGTTGCCTGGGAGAGCAAATGCACTCACGCGCACAACTGCCTTGGACTAGGTTCTCAGGAAAGGTCAGATTCTAGCTTCAGCTGCCCCTCACTTGCCCAGGGATTCCAGGCCAGCCACCTAATATCTCTGTGCCTCAACCTTGTTTGGAGAGAGAGAGAGAAAAAAAAAGAGCTGTAAAGGTAAAATGAGACACCTATGAACTTGGAGGCAACTTGAACAAAAGTGAAAGGCACCGTGCAAAATGCGAAATATTTTTCTTGTGCCATTAGTAGAAAGCAGAGGCCATGTGGTGGCCTGTTACACATCCTGACATACTGCCACAGGGACAGTGAGCTTGTCAGAGTAGAAGCTGTCAGAAGGCCGGTGTGATCTGACAGTGACAGGTCTTTGGTCAAGCCTGCTCTGTTGCTCCATTTCTCCATTTCCCCTCTGCAAGCGGGGCTGGGGGTGGGTTGGGCCAGATGCCCTCTCCTGGTTCAAAGACAGGACCAGATTGTCAGTGACAGGCCGAGGTCATGTGACTTGACAGGCAGAGGTCGTGTTGTGACACGCTGACCTGGGGAGGTGGGTCAAGTCCCACCCAGCACATTACTCGGGAAGCCTTTGGGGCGGGGCGGGGCAAGTCGCGACTTTCATCTTTGGGGTCTGGCCCCTCCCGGATCTGGCATCCAGACTCCCCCCAACAGATTGTGGGTTTGGAAAGGGCCCCTCCCCGGGGAAGGCTGGGATTGGCCGCCAGTGGTCTGGAAGAGGCTCAGATCCTTCCGCGGGGGGGCTGCGTGGGGTGTTTGTTCTCTTGGGGATTAATGGGGGTTGTGGGGGAGGGGGAGGCGCGCTCCCGCATGCGCACTGCAGCCCCTCCTGTTGGCTCGTCGTTGTCCGCTGGGCGGGGGCCCGGCCCCGCCCCTCTCCCGTCCGGGCAGCGGCGGCAGCGGCGGCGGAGGCTGTGGCGGCGGCGGCAGCGGCAGCGACGGCGGCGGCAGCAGCCTGCGCGGTGCCTTCTGGGAACGGAATCCCCAGGGCTGCCCCTGGCCCCCATGGCGCATGCGCGGGAGGCCGCTCGGTGATCCGCGGCGGCGGCGGCAGCGCTTCCTGCTAGGACCGGCTGGGGCCGTACCGGAGGCTCGGGCTCCACCGACCCTCCTCCCACTCCCTCCCACTCACCCTCTGGGCCGCAACTGCGCAGGGCGGGGCCGGCCGAACCATGGGCCGCGGTGAGTGCAGGGCCCGGCCCCCCCATTCCGCCCCTCCCCCTCCCCTCCCCTCCAGTGCTACCCTCTGCCCCCTCCGCGTCCTCTCGGCCCCTTTCCCTGGCCTCAGCCCTACTCCCCCGCCCTCACCTGCCCCCACCGTTTCCCTCTCTCAACTGCTTGACTTTTGCCTTCTCCACCTCCCTCCCCTCAGTGCTTTGCCCACCCTCCGCCCGCCTTCTCCCCAAGTTCCTTCCTACTTCGTGCGCCTTCCCCTCCTCTCGGGCTGAGGGAAGCAGGCTGGGTGACAGGGCGCCTTGTTATGAGAGGGAAAGTTTTGAAGCCAGCAGTGTGAGGTAGGAGCGGTGGTGAGGCTGGGGAGATCCTTGCAGGTTGGAGGGGCGGCCCCACATATTAGAGAAGAATTCCTGTCGGAGCTCATTTGAAGCCTGTGGGTAGGAGGTGCTGAATCCCCTTGCCTTAGGCTTGGAAGGAAATCAGGAGCTTCTCAGGGTCCCGGGAGAAGACAGAGTTGTGATTCCAACCTTAAGACCCAAGTGAACCAAATCAGCAGTGGTGGGGGCGAGTTCTAGTCGTACCACCCGAACAAGCAGTTGGGCAGCGCGGCTAGTGACCTGTGGGGCAGTCTGTACTTTTTATATGATCTTCGGGGGGGAAGGGGGGAGCACAGCAGGGGCCAGACTCTGGGAAACTTCCTACTGGCCTGGCATAAGGGAATTTGCCCACACTCCTGGATGAAGTCTTCTGTCTCTGACCGGACAAAAGGACGCTGCTCTGTATATGTCTAGGGATTGGGCTGTGATTCTTTGGTCCCTGGGACTTGAGGCTAAGACCAGGGACTGCATATGTAAAAGGCTGATTGTGGACTCAGCCAGCAGATCCGAGAGTTTTATGAGCACTTACTTCACTAAGGATCTTTTCCTTGAGAGTCTCTTGAACTGTTGTGCTCTCTTGAGTTGGGCAGATTCCTGACAGTCCCTCTCTCTCCTATCTTGCAGGTGTGGGCTAAGCCGGCGGCCCGGCTTTAGACTGGACCCCACAATGTTTGCAGAGATGTTCAGGTAGCCGTGGTGGTGGGGTGTCATTCTCTCACCCCGCTCTCTAGGATCCCCCTACAACTTTTGTCTTCCTGGAGTACTCCCTCAGGTCCAGCCCAGCTTAATCCTCCTAATGCCCCTGCATGTCTATGTTATCAGGCGCGTGGGAGCTGATTACACACAATGAATGGGGGCAATGAGAGCAGTGGAGCAGACAGACCTGGGGGCCCTGTGGCCACATCTATCCCCATCGGCTGGCAGCGTTGTGTTCGTGAGGGTGCTGTGCTCTATATCAGGTATAGATTCTCAGAGTTCCCTGAATTCTATCCTTAGGCCCTTCAGTTGCCCAATTTCTGTCTCCCACCCTTCCTCTCAAAGCTCAGATCTCTGGTACCCTGTTGTGCTCCTGTTCCTCCTCCTTTCCTCAGCCTTTTTGCTATCTCTTTGAATCTACTCTCCCTCTCTCTCTCTTCCCATGTTCCTTACCCTCTGCCCTTCCTAGGAAAGTGACTAAGGAGTGTCTCCTGATTCAGTGTAAACTAACCCCATACTCTCTGACCCTTCCTCTCCCAGCCCAAGTGGCACAGAGCTGTCTTCCTTGGAGCAAACCCGGAGCTACCTCCTCAGTGATGGGACCTGCAAGTGCGGTCTGGAGTGTCCACTCAATGTCCCCAAGGTCAGAGTGATGAGGGTGCCAGAGCGACCAGGAATAAGCCTAGAGACAGTGCATATCACTGCCCATGGTAGCCTTTGTCACAGATTCCATCCCCTCAGGGTCCCTGTCCTTGCTTCTACCTCACAGGTTTTCAACTTTGACCCTTTGGCCCCGGTGACCCTGGGTGGGGCTGGGGCGGGGCCAGCATCAGAGGAAGACATGACCAAGCTGTGCAACCATCGAAGGAAAGCCGTTGCCATGGCAACCTTATACCGCAGCATGGAGACCACCTGCTCACACTCTTCTCCTGGTGAGTCTTCTCTACTTTAGGAAGAAAACTGAGGGCAACTTAAAGGGCCTGGAAGAGGAATGATGGGAAGAGCTTTATGGGAGGGATCAGGAAGGAAGGCATGGAGAGTGGCTTGGTGAAAGGAGGGAACAGGGAGGTTGGGGATTTTTGAGGCTAACCCATAATTTCTCATTTATTGCAGGAGAGGGAGCGAGCCCCCAAATGTTCCACACTGTGTCCCCAGGGCCCCCCTCTACCCGTCCTCCCTGTAGAGTCCCTCCTACAACTCCACTTAATGGGGGTCCTGGCTCCCTTCCCCCAGAACCATCCTCAGTTCCACAGGCCTTCCCCCCTCTAGCAGGCCCTGGGGGGCTCTTCCCACCGCCAAGGCTTCCCGATCCAGTCCCCCCTGGAGGCAGCAGCAATTCCTGCTTCCTCCCAAGGGGCAATGCTCCCTCTCCAGCTCCGCCTCCTCCACCTGCCATCAGCCTCAATGCCCCCTCATACAACTGGGGAGCACCCCTCCGATCCAGCCTGGTGCCCCCTGACTTGGGCTCTCTTCCAGCTCCTCATGCCTCCTCCTCGCCACCCTCAGATCCTCCTCTCTTCCACTGTAGTGATGCCTTAACACCCCCTCCTTTGCCCCCAAGCAATAATCTCCCTGCTCCCCGTGGTCCCCCTGGTCCTTCCACTCAACCAGCCACTATGCACCTGCCCCTGGTCCTGGGACCCCAGGGAGGGGCCCCCATGGTGGAAGGCCCTGGGGCACCCCCCTTCCTTGCTAGTAGCCTACTCTCTGCAGCGGCCAAGGCACAGCGTCCCCCCCACCCCCCTCCCAGCACTTTACAGGGCCCAAGGCCCTGTGCCCCAGCACCCTCAGCTTCCCACTCATCATCACCCCGTCCCGCTCAGCGCCGTCCCCGCAGACCCCCAACTGTACTGCGATTGCTAGAAGGGGGAGGCCCTCAAGCCCCTAGACGGAGCCGTCCTCGTGCCCCTGCTCCTGTGCCCCAATCCTTCTCTCTCCCCGAGCCATCCCAACCGATTCTCCCTTCTGTGCTGTCCCTTCTGGGACTCCCCACCCCTGGCTCTTCCCACTCCGATGGAAGCTTTAACCTTATGGGGTCCGATGCACACCTTCCTCCTCCCCCAACCCTCTCCTCAGGGAGCCCTCCCCAGCCTAGGCACCCCGTCCTTTCCTCCCTGCCTGGGACCTCCAGTGGCAGCCTCAGCAGTGTGCCAGGTATGTCACAGACTGAGGGTGGTAGGGCCCTTCCTCCCCTGGGCTGGGAAGAGGCAGCCAAGGCATCTAGGGGAGAGTTTAGAACTCTGGGTTGGGGACAGGGAGGTTGGGCTCTTTGGACACTGGGATGAAGAGTCTCTTTTGAGCTGAATTTGTCTTTTTCTTTGCAGGTGCCCCTGCCCCACCAGCTGCCTCCAAAGCCCCCCTAATTCCCAGCCCTGTACTTCAAAGCCCATCTGACGGACTGGGGATGGGGGCGAGCACCACCTGCCCTCTGCCTCCCCTGGCTGGTGGGGAGGCTTTCCCTTTCCCCAGCCCTGAGCAGGGCCTGGCACTGAGTGGAGCTGGCTTCCCAGGGATGCTAGGAGCCTTGCCTCTCCCTCTGAGTCTGGGGCAGCCTCCACCTTCTCCATTACTCAGCCACAGTTTATTTGGCATGCTGGCTGGGGGAGGGGGACAACCGCCCTCCGAGCCCTTGCTACCCCCGCCAGGGGGACCTGGCCCTTCTGTAGCCCCAGGCGAGCCCGAAGGGCCTTCACTTTTGGTGGCTTCCCTGCTTCCACCACCCCCTTCAGACCTCCTTCCACCCCCTTCTGCACCTCCTAGCAACCTCCTAGCCTCTTTCCTGCCTCTGTTGGCCCTGGGCCCCACAGCTGGGGATGGGGAAGGATCTGCAGAGGGAGCTGGAGGTCCAAGTGGGGAGACATTTTCAGGTTTAGGAGACCTGCCCCCGCTATTGTTTCCCCCACTTTCAGCCCCCCCTACCCTCATAGCTTTAAATTCTGCGCTGCTGGCTGCCAGCCTGGATCCCCCCTCTGGGACGTCCCCTCAGGTGAGGATAGGGGTTGACTGGGGGGGACTCAACAAGAGGTAGAATCAGAGATGGGAGCTGGGAATCAAAGGCTTCCCTTAGGGCCTTTGGGGAAGGCTTAGTGCTTGGCCAAGGGTAGGATAGCTGTACAAACTGGGTCTGTATTTAATAAGCGTGGCCTACTTCATGTGAGGCTTCAGATTGTATGTGAAAGTACTGAAAAGGTATGGACTGCTTTACACATGTATTATAAGCATTCTTTCTCCTTAGCCCTGTGTCCTGAGTGCCCCCCAACCTGGACCACCTACCTCCAGTGTCACCACGGCAACTACTGACCTGGGAGCCTCCTCTCTGGGCAAGGCCCCCTCCAACTCAGGGAGACCCCCCCAACTCCTTAGCCCTCTGCTGAGTGCCAGCCTGCTGGGTAAGTCTGAGGGCAGACTGGTATGAAAAAGAAGGAAAAAAAGCAATAAAAATTGGGAGGTGCAGGTGGGTGAACTGGGGAAGAAAGTCTTTGACCACTGGATAAAGCCTAAGAGAGCAGGATTTGTTCAACTTAATTTGAACAAATTAAGGTTTGCCTAGGGAGACCCCTGACCTTATAATTCAACAGGTGATCTGTCTTCGCTGACCAGCAGCCCTGGAGCCCTCCCCAGCCTATTGCAGCCTCCTGGCTCTCTTCTCTCTGGCCAACTGGGGCTGCAGCTCCTCCCTGCGGGGGGAGCCCCTCCCCCCCTCTCAGAGGCTTCTAGTCCCTTAGCCTGCCTGCTACAAAGTCTCCAGGTGAGGGTTTAGGGGTATGTTTGTCAAGAGTTTTTTCCCAAACTGGAAATAAGCATTCTGAATTACAAAGCAGGCTGACATGAGATTTTGTTTTTGCCTATAGATCCCTCCAGAGCAGCCAGAAGCCCCCTGTCTGCCCCCCGAGAGCCCCACCTCAGCCCTGGAACCAGAGCCTGCTCGGCCTCCCCTCAGTGCCTTAGCCCCACCCCACAGTTCTCCCGACCCCCCAGTCCCTGAGCTGCTCACTGGGAGGGGGTCAGGGAAACGGGGCCGGAGGGGAGGAGGGGGACATAGGGGCATTAATGGTGAAGCCAGGCCAGGCCGGGGTCGAAAGCCTGGCAGCCGGCGGGAACCTGGCAGATTAGCCCTCAAGTGGGGGGCACGTGGAGGCTTCAATGGACAAATGGAACGGTCCCCAAAAAGGACCCACCATTGGCAGCATAATGGGGAACTGGCTGAAGGGGGTGCTGAGCCCAAGGATCCATCCCCTCCTGGGCCCCATTCTGAGGACCTTAAGGTGAGTGCAGTGATGGAGGTCTGGCTGAAGGGCTCTGAGGAACAGCTGTAGCCACGCTGCCTTTTCTTAACATTCTCTACACACACAGTCCATCTTTTCTCAGGTGCCTCCGGGGGTAGTCAGAAAGTCGCGTCGAGGCCGGAGGAGAAAATACAAGTGAGTATTGGGCCCACCACAATCTTGGCCTTTCCTCACTTCTTACTGGGTTTGTAGAAATGACTAAGAGAAGTAACTTGGTTTTCAAAAGGGCAAATACTTATTTGAGTATGAATAAGGATACTATGCCTTTACTGTCCAAATGTAGAAAGTTTCCCACCCAAACTCTGAAATTCACCTGGTGCTTGGGGGACGTGTTCCTGATCCTCTGTGCCCCTTATTGCAGCCCCACCCGGAACAGCAATATCTCCCGCCAGGATGTTACCTTGGACCCCAGCCCCACAACCCGAGTAAGTGTGTACCAGTTGGTGGGAGGGGACGTATTAGGGATGAGGCAGGAGGAAAAACTGGTTAAAGGGAGTGGGGAGAAAATAAAAGACTTCTTGATACCTAACTGTTAGATCACTTCTTTCGACTTCCCCTCTTGTATAGGCAGCTGTCCCTCTGCCTCTCCGGGCCCGCCCTGGCCGTCCTGCCAAAAACAAGAGGAGGAAACTGGCCCCATAGCAGCCATACCTGGAGCTGGATCTGACCCTGATTGGGGAAAGCTGAGTGCTGAGCCTTGGGAGCCCCTGCCAGCCACCTGCACCTGTGGACAGTGGGTGGGGGCACTACTCCCCACTCAGAGCACAAATGCAAGCTCTTCCCCTACGATCCCATCCTGAGCCATTGCAGGGGGTAGGGAAGCTCTGCCCCTCCCCCCAAAGCCATGTCACTGAGAAGGCCTTGGGGGGGGGGGGTAATATGGCCCGCTCCCCACCAGGCTAAGGGGAATTCCCCCTTCCCCAGGTCTTTTATTTGTTTAAGTTATTTTTGCACAAATGACTCTTTTATATTTAATTCGACTTCATTGCCTCCCTTCTTGAAGCCAACAGGCTCAGTTTACAAACCTGTGAGCTACTGTTGGCTGCTGTCCTCCTTCCCAGTGAAAGGTACAAAGCAATAAGCATCTTGCATCCTCCCCTCACCTCTCCAACACCCCTCTGTCTCTGGCTCAGGTTGCTCAAAGCACAGATCCTCTCTTACCCCCGTCCCCAGGTTTGAAACACATAGCCTCATTTCAAGGTGTAGCCAGCTTCCATCCTCTGGGATAGAAAAAAGGGGTAAGGGGGCAAAGAGAGCCCTCTGGGACTCTCCCCCCACACACACTACACTGCCCCTTCTCCCCTCCCCCCCCCCATCAAATGCTCAGAGACGTTGTGATGATGCGACTGAGGATTATGCAACGTGGTCCAACCGGAGCGGCCAGCATGACCAGCTGTCCAGGGGCTGCCTCCTGCCTTTTCTTTTGTAAAGACAAGACCCTTGGGAGTTTTAATTCTGTTTTGTACTTGCCCTGTGGGGCCTCCACTGCTTTTCTATGGGAGATACTCTTAATTTAACAGATGAGAATATTTTGAAACTCTGGCTCTGACTCTGTACTCATTTTTTCCTTAGTTCTTTGGTATGAACGGGTTACAATTTAACTCCCCCTCCTGTAGTAGACAGAAAGTAGCTTAGCCTGCCTATTATGCCATGAATGTCTCAGTGCTGCCTCTTCCCCAGGAAACACAGCAGAGGCCACACGGAGTACAACAGCATTTAATGGTCAGAAACAGTTGTATAGTGTTACAATCAGCCACAGAAACTGTGCTGCAGGACAAGACCCAGTCCTTCCCACACAGGACAAAGCAGTATTGGACATGAACTGGCATGTGGCTGTGCCCAAGGCCTGAGGGGAGACCACCGTCTAATATCCCCAGCTACCACTCTAGTCCTCAGAGGGGTATAAACCCCACATGCAAGAAGAACCATTTGTTCCCAGTGTCAAATGGGATGGGGATGCAAGAGTTATAATTAGGGGAAACCCTATGTAACCTGTTAACATAGTTCAAAGGGGTAGGTATTGTCCCTATTCTCCATCTCCCAAAGGGGCTCACTTTCCCAGTTTCTTCATCCGTTTATCAATGTTGGCAAAATTCCCCTCAACTGTGGACAGGTTTTCACGCATGGTCGTCTGTACCTAGAAAGTGATAGAGATGTTTTATTCTTTGTCAATTCCAGGTGCTTACCTACATGAGGACCTAAAGAAATTCTCTTAGGACAAAATGAAATGGAAACACAGCTTATGGGCCTCAGAGCAGGGAGGTTATAGCAGCAGTTTTCAAACTACTCTTGGAGCACCAAGGACCTAGTTCAGGGTCTGCCAAAAGCAGGATTCTTAAAAGGGCCAAATAAGATTTTGTTGAAATAGGGGTCCGCTGATTGAAAGTTAGAAAATTGCTCCAGAGAAAGAACATTATACCAAGTAAATTTTTTCACTTATTTTGATGGTCCAGTGATGCTGGTCTCTCAACTTTAATGCTCCTCCTCCCCCAGCACTGAAAACTGTCTCAACAGAAACCAAGGACTCACTATGTGCTGGACCCTGCTAAAAGAATGAAGGCAGAAGGTGAAACTCACTGCTCAGAGTCAGAAATGAATTGGCAAAACCAGGTTGGAGCCTAGCTCCTGACCTGAAGCCCATATTCCTTCCAATCTACTGTGCTCTGGAGTACCTAGATGAGGACCCAGAGAGGGTAAGGCTAAGCTGAGACTACAGAGGGAAAGGGTAGGTTTCAGAGGAAAAATTTATGTTTACTGAACTAACCGTTCACCCATGTTATTTAACCTGGTCAACATAACTCTGAAATAGGTATAATTTTCCAGAGGACAAGATAAGAAGTTCATAGGCTAAGTAAGTTTCCACAACCACTGAAAAGATTCAAACCAAGCCCCTGCTACAAACAATGCCACCAAAGGGGCTAAGGCAGAAAACACTCTGAGTTAAAGCTGGAGAATCTGGTCTGTGTGTCTGAAGAAGGGAGGCAACAAACCAATGACGAGACAGACCTGGGTCAAGAGGGCGGTGTTGTCCTTGAGAGAACTAGCGATCATCTGCTGTGTGGTGTCCAAGTGTGTCAGGAGCTGACCAAACTGCATGGCTACAAAAGAAGGTATGGGGGAGGTTAGAATGCAAGACAAGAGGAAAGGGAATAGAAGTTGCCCACTTTCCAATTCCTCTGGACACCCCTCCCACCTTGCTCATGAAGCTGCTTGATGGTGACAAGTCTCTGCACCAGCTCAGGAAGGGTGGAGGCGACGGGGCTCCAGCGCTGTATGGTTTCATATAGCTGGTGCACCTGGAGGACAGGACAGGGCCCAGAAGAGTTGGCCTACTTGTCAGTGAAGTACACACGGACTTTACTAGGGTGGAGCGAGGTTAACTAGGTGGGGACAGCAAAGCACTACCCAGACTTTCTCAGTTGGCACGGGTTTATAAAGACAGGGACCTGAGGATTCACTGCTCATTACCACCAGGATGACTCAGAGAACATAAGGAAGCAGGAAAGGGTAGGTAGATGGGGAAAGATGTCTTCCTGACCTTGCTTTGTGTATCTGCGTCCTCTACAGAAGCTTTATGCTTGGCAATCTCATTCACCTTTCCCAGGACACTCTGCAAACACAGATTTTAAGGCTTATTGGTAAGTGCATCCAGGGCTTCCAAAGTCTCAAGCGATCTGTAATCCACTTTGTCCTCCATTTAATACCTGTAGCCGAGCCTCCACTTGGTCCAAAACTGCAAGATCCAGGGCGCTCACCTTTGCCTGCAACAGTTCTACAGTCTCCTGGGGAAGGGGGTTGGGACAAGTTTCATAAAGGGGAAAAGATCAGATTAGGAAGAGGCCACCCAATATTCCATTGGGAGTAATTAATATACAGATGTAGACCTCAAATTCTCCAAGCAACCCGATCCCAATATCCCCTCATAACCCAAACGCTCCAGTTCTTTTTCACACTCACTGTAAGGCACGCTCCCTGCAGACCTGCAGAAAGGGGATTCTGGTGGGGAAGAGGAGGAAAGAAATCAGTGATTCTACTATCTCCATATGATTACCACTTTCCCCATCCTTCCTGTTCTAGCTGGAAGCCCACTGGCTGATCCTAGAACTGAAGCCCTTCCCTGATTCCTCCCAGGATTCTGTGGAATGCTGTGGACCTCAGGCTGAGGGTATAGAATGTGAGGATAAGACTAAGAACAGGAGAGCACCTGACCTGAGCATCCTGATTACACCGTACAGTTGCTTCCAGCTCTGTCAGGCGCTTCTCAAGTTCTGCAACCTAGGGGGAGAAAGGAGGTGAGATTTGCCATCACCTCCCTGCTTCTGCAAGATCATGCTATTCTCTGCTTGTCTGCTTGCAAGTCCCCTCTACCAAGGGATGCCTTTCCAAGGAACATATAACCCTAGTCAAAATCTCAACTGAAAGTAGATGGGTGAGGGGAACATGAAGAATGAGACAATAAGATCAGAAGTGCCCTAGCTGGTTTGGCTCAGTGGATAGAGCATCGGCCTGCAGACTTAAAAGTTCTAAGTTAGATTCCAGTCAAGGGCACATGCCCAGGGTTAGGAAGAGGCATATCCCCACTAGGAAGCATATAGGAAGCAGTCGATCGATTCTCATTTCTATCTCTTCCTTTCCCTTCCTCTCCGAAATTGTGTGTATGTGTGTGTGTATTTACTTTATTTATTTTTTAATGGTCAGAAGCACCCTCTCCCCAGAACTGATCCCTTGGAGGAAGGCAGGAAAAGTCTCTAAGGCCACATCTCCCCTGCCTCCCCCAACCAACACTACATACATACTTACTTTGGCAGCTTGAGAGAACTTGTCTTGCTCAGGCCTCGAATGTAGTTCGTAAGTGACAAGGCTGCTATCTGGGGGCGTCCCACTTGTGGTTTTCCCCCCTGAACCAGTCCCTTTGCTGTTCTTTGTTGCCTCCAGCTGTAGTAGTAGGCGCCTAGGTCAGAAGACCAAGTAATATCATGACTTGAAGAATGCAGGCCAGCCCAGCCATTCTTTCTCATTCTACCTCAGAGTACTCACATTAAGGAACCACTAGGCCACCTCTTCCCTTAATAGTCCTGTCACTACCTGGCTGAGTCCCTCTCCATCCCAATTAGCAATAACTTCTCAACCAAGTAGAGCACCCACTTAGCCAGAGCTCCATCAGGGTCAGTAAGGTTGATTGCTGCATCTGGTCCCAGCAGCTTCTCCAGGTGGGAAGCAACCAGCTGCTGCTTCAGGGCTGCCAGCTGCTTAGCCAACACCACGGGGGTCAGCTTCTCCTCAGTGGCTGACTCCTTCACTGTTGTCTGATATGAAAAGTAGACAGATGAAGGGTGGCAAGAGTGAACTAAGAAAAAAAAAAAGGGTCAAGACCCAGCTATGGCTGGAAGTCACCAATAGCACTGACTACAGATTTGTGTACATTCCTAAACTCTGAAAACCTCAGCCCCCTGGATCCAGGAGCGTAGAGAATCTTTCTCCTCCTGCTGGGAGGTTCTCCTCTGTAATAGAAATCATAGCAGAGAGGGGAGAAGATAGTTTATAGTTACCTTGATTTTTTCAACTTCAGTTGTCAGCTCCTGGACCTCATGCAATAGTCGCTGGTACTTTTGCTGGGGTGTCTCCTTCACTCCCAGACCCTCTCCAAGCTAGAGAGCAAGCACAAAAGGTGATGTTATACCTCCCACTACAGGGAACCGCAAGAATTTATCGGGCTTGAATAGTAAGGGTATTACATCCAACTCAGAATCTACTACTCCCTACTGAAATGAGATAGCTGGAGGCCTGGAGGCTCTCCAGAGCAAACAGCAGAGGAATAAAGCACCCTCAAATGCATCCTGCTTGATTCCTCTTTCCCCATCCCCTCTGGGAATGTTATCCCTTGATCTCCTACTAGAGAGGAAAACTGTTCCTTCCCCATCAACACACACACAACAAACCATCTCATAGTCTCCGGATTCATATCCTGTCCTCTTGGTTTTTCCAATACGATCTGAGAAATCTGTCAACAAAACAAGATGAAATTGAGGGCCTGATCTAAGCCCAAGGCAGTCATGGTCTCAGGTGACCATGAAGGTTTCCACCAGGGATCTCTATGAGGGACCCTTTCCCAAAGCAAAAGGCACTAAGGCCTGAGGACAGACTCTCCCCTATCCCCCCAGCCAATTTACAGCCCAGTCTCACCAAGTCCCTTTGTCCCCACTCTCTTGTCTTTGAACTTGTCATAGGCAGCATTAGGATTGACAATGATGTGCTCTACACTTGTGCTCGTCAGTTCCTCCTGCAGAAATAGGTAGTTCAGGTGCTGGGCAGTCTCATTCACACTCTAGAACTCCCCCACAAAACCCCCCTATATATAAGTAGACTGGCTCCTACTTTCCAAGCTGCCGACCCAGGCTTGACCTAGGAAACGGAAGCTTCCTGGTAAATTATAGTCTCAGTTGTATAAACATTAACACCCTGATTCAACTGGGAACAGAGGAAGCATAGCCTCTCCACTCCCCCGCCCCAGCCAACTGGGCCCTCCCAGTTTTTTGGCACATACCATGCATTCAGGGTAAGAAATGAACCTGACCTCTTTCAACCTTTACTTTTTACCAAAAGTAAAATCCCTTGCGGCTGAGGAAGTCCATTTTCAAGCTAACTTCCATTCTTGCTAGAGGAAAAGAGGTGGAATAACAGACAATCAAGCTACCAACTCTAAGGGTGACTATTAGAACTTGAATATGCTGGTGAAGGGAAGACATCAGCTCTTTGATAAAAAAAAGGTTGGCTGACAAAGGGCCTGATCAAAAGTTGTTTCTAAGCTGCCATGAAGTCAGGGAATTCAGAGGAAGAAAGACAGGCAAGAACTCACTGTATTATTTTTTAAGGGACATCTTAGAAGCAACAAGCAGAAGCAGTATCTGTTGCCAAGAATACCTATGGGCAAGGGCCACAGACAAGTCCTGAAATGAAGATAACCCAGCATCTATTCCAATAGAAGCCCCAGGTCTAGCCCTCTTGACCTCTGCTGGCTCTTAAGCACTGAAGCTATCCCATAAACGGGCGACATGGTAAAGAAAGGGAATGGGATTTTACTCTAGAAATTGAGACAGAGAGGCTCCCTCCTTACTGGTTATCTACTGGCTGTTCCTATTGCAATAACTAACCAAAACTGGGCACTCAGACTGCATGTCTGTCCTTCAATTGTCAGCAGTCTGACAGCACTTACTACATTACTGAGGGGGGGGAGGGCGGGTGCTCAGGAGTCCTTTTTTTGGGGGAATGCTACCTTCACCTTCTACAGAAGGAAGACACAGTAAGTCTTCTTTTCTTTAACTGGAATAATGGTTCTCAACCCTGGCTGCACAACAGAAACACTTAGAAAATAGGCCCTGGCCTAGAGCATCATCCTGATACACCAAGGTTGAAGGTTTGATTCAAGGGTGAGGGTTTAATCCCTGGTCAGGGCATATACAAAATCAACCAATGACTGTATAAATAAGTAGGATAATCATCTCTCTCTCTCTCTCAAACCAATTTTTTAAAAACATTAGAAAGAAAAAGAGGCCTGGGCTCACCTCTGTATCTTCTGACTTATTGTTCTGGGGTAGAGCCAGTGCAGCAGGTCAGTTTAAAAGCTACTTAAGCTATTCTAATATTTCTAATATGCAGCCAGGACCCAGAATTTCTGCCTGTGGGTATTGAGGGGTGGGGGGATGATGGTGATAAAGAGACATAGATGGAGCGGAAACCGGTTTGGCTCAGTGGATAGAGCGTCAGCCTGTGGACTGAAAGGTCCCAGGTTCGATTCCAGTCAAGAGCATGTACCTTGCCGAAACCGGTTTGGCTCAGTGGTAGAGCGTCGCTCTGCGGACTGAAAGGTCCCAGTTCGATTCCGGTCAAGGGTATGTACCTTGGCTGCGGGCACATCCCTGGTAGGGGGTGTACAAGAGGCAGCTGGTCGATGTTTCTCTCTCATCGACGTTTCTAGCTCTCTATCTCTCTCCCTTCCTCTCTGTAAAAAATCAATAAAATATATTAAAAAAAAAAAAAAAAAAAAAAAAAAAAGCATGTACCTTGGTTGCGGGCACATCCCCAGTAAGGGGTGTACAAGAGGCAGCCAATAGATGATTCTCTCTCATCAATGTTTCTAACTCTCTATCCCTCTCTCTTCTTTTCTGTAAAAAAAAAAAAAAAAAAAATATATATATATATATATATATATATTTTATATATATATAAATATATATATATATATATATATTTTATATATATATAAATATATATATATATATATATATATTTTTTTTTTTTTTTTAAAGAGACATAGATGGAGAAAAAGCAGCAGACAAAAGCTCCATTCTTCATCTCCGGTCTGCTATTAAAGAAGGCATCAGTGTGAGTGGCAGCTTTAAAAATAAGGGAAGAGAGAGGGTAAGGAGAAATTATCAACTTTGATATTTCCCTTTTCTTCAGGAAAGTGCTGGACAGAGGGACAAGAGCTAAAGATTAAGGGAAAACAAAAGGGTTCAATGTCCCATATACAAGGGCCTAGGGGAAAAAGACAACTGAATCCTAAATTATCATCTCTTTAATCTTCTCTGAAATGTTATGGCCCAAGCACCCACCAGCCAAATAACCGTGTGGTCTCTAGCCTCTATAAGTAAAGTGTCTGAGAAGGACTCATGCTCAGGAAAGACAACCATCTTCTCAAAGATGCCACTCAGAATATGACACTCCTCTTTGTGAGTGCCCTAATCAAGGCCAATGAAGTAGAAACCCATTAAAAAAAATTCCTCCTAAAAAGAGGAATGGGAGATATAGTCTACAGACCAAAGAAAAAAATTATAGCTCCATTTTGTTAAACCCTTATTATGGGACAGGCACTGTGCAGAGAACCTACTTTCTTATTTACTCTCCTAAAAATAGGGAAGGGGTGGAGTAAGAAAGGTAAATACACAGAACTGTGAGTCTCAGAGTTCTGGCAGTAAGAGGGATGGACAATGCTTTCACCTCACTATTCCTGATAGAGAAGCATGTCCTGGGTCAGGTGGGCTGCCTGACACTGGCGCCCGAGGAGCCCTCTGAGGGTGTGGTCCTGGAGACAGGTGGGCAGCACACCTTAGTCCTCCAGGGGCACCTACTCCACAGTGTCTCAGAGATCTGGGGGCATGAGTTGGGGGCAGTGTCATTACAGTGACTTGTGAGATGGGAAAAGGCTGTCAGCTGGGGTGGGGCTGAATAGATGAAAGATTTGGTAGAGACAAAAGGACAGAAAAACAACTGCCCAGCACAGCACACCCCACTAAAAAGCAGATGAAAGGTCAGGCTTCTTACCAGCTCCTTGTGGTTTCCCCAGAGGTGAGAAAATCAAGAGTTAAAAGGAAAGGGAGTGGGGAAATGGGGGTAAGGGAGGGGGAGGAAAAAAAAAGACAAAATTGTTATTAGCAAATTGTCTCATGCACTACATGACAGTCTTCAAACACACTGCACCACAGGGCCCAGGGGAGCCTAGCAAAATTTGGGGGGGGCCAAGAAATTTCAGCCCGGGCTGTCACATACCCCCAGAAGAAAGAAGAGCTTGGGTCCCTTTCCTCTCTGGTGATGAGGATGTCATGAAGCTTTGCCAGTAACAGCAGCAATTCAGGATCATCTGAGAACTAGTTAGATGTTGCAAGCCAGTGGCATGGAATAGGGAAGTGGGAGAAAAGAAGGCTGAGGTGGAGGGGAAGCTGTAGAAATGGCAATGTGAAGCAGAGGCTATGGAGATCCTGAGGACCTGCACTGACTGAGGGTCCCTAATTCTCAAGGGAGGGGTTCATGGCTTAAGTCTTCCTGTCCCCTGGTTTCTCTAGTGTAGAAGAAGCAGACATTTAGAGAGTGCTCATGTGGGTCGTCTGGTATAATTTTAGGTTTAGCAGAATAAAATATGTCAGGCACAGATGGTGAGTTTAGGGAAATACGAAGCCCCTAAATGAAGTCCCATTCTCTTTCTCTGCTGCTAAATGACACAGGGCAGATCCTGGTCCCGCGTGTAGTCCGTTTTTGATGACTTCTTGAGAGATGGGTAGCTCACCCTGCAGCTTGGAGAGATCCAGAGCAATTCTGCCATGATGTGCTAGCACAAAGAGTGCAGAGGACACCAAGATTCACAGCTACCAGCCCATATGCAGAACAGGTATCTTCAACCCTCTATTCACAAGACTCACAGGGGTTGGAGGGAAGACAAAGGGGAAAGGTGGGAGTATTTAAAAGAGGCCTTATTTTAGTCCAGGCCACATAGATAAGAATCTCATTTCCAGGCAAGACTGGTAAAGAACTTTCAGGAAGGGGAACCTAAGTGTACACACTGCCTCTCCAGCAGCTCTACTGTCGAGCAGATAGGAGTGTGGAGGGTCAAATGCTTCCCGCTCCAGAGATTTCAGCTAAATATACTTGAACCTCAACCTCTCCACTGCCTGTCTGATGCCAGGGTCCTCCTTAGCAAAGGCTCCTCTCTGAGCTTAGGTTAGGGTGAACCTGGGTCCTGTGGTCTAGGCTGGGATGTCTCTAGAGTGGGTGTATGCACTCACATTGCATGCATGCAAAACGAGGGGAGGCACACACTACACATTTCTCTTACTGCCCCACCAAGCTAAAATCAGTTCGGGAGAAACTCAAGGAGAAATAGAGGACAATGGGCCATAAATCAAATTCAAATCATGAAGAACAATCAAAATGGGGGAGGACAGAAAAATAAAAAAAAGAGGAAAATGGCATATTAGTTTGAAAACAATATATGCCACTTCCAGATCTGTCTTATAAGGAATGATGAGATTTTAAGCATAGTTCTCCTAACCTGGAATAGTAACAGTCACCATGGAAACCTTCTACACTCCGCCACCTTGATTGGAAAATTCCAAGTGCCCTGATACCAGGTACTAGCTTATCTGGTATATGATTTCCAATCCCTCTCACTAAGGAACTCCCAGACTCCCCAGAGCTTTTGGCTAAATGGCTGTGCCTAAAGGCAAAACCTGAGGTTCTAGATCAGATAGGGGGAAGAGGCCATTGCTGCTCTGTGAGCCTGTTCAGGCTCTAAGCCAACACTGCAGCCAGAGGGACTTTGGAACCATGAAGACAAGGAGCATGGATGGTATTGCAAAATAAAACTGTCCAGGATGGACCAACACAGTGCTGAGCAATCATCCATTTCTAAAGGAGGGGTACAGAAACAAAAAGACTCATGAAAGCACAAATAATCCAAGTTGTTACCTTAAAATTAGCACATAACACCCCCTTTTTCTATCCAATTTACCTTTCTCTAAGGGCTCAGCACAGAATATTAAAATGAGTTTTCCAGGCATAATCCACATACGGCTAAGAAGTGAGGGCTGTGGCTGTTCCCCGTGTTCTTCCCTGTTTGGAGTAGCTTAGCCATTCCTTTTCTCTTCACTCCATTTCAGTCTGAGAAAGGCTTCTCAGTTCCCCTTCTAACTCAGCTCCTAAATGCCTATGTGCCAAAGCATTCCTAGCCTCCATGTTTCTACCCCATCCTCCATTGGACAGTTTTATTCTGCAGACCTCCCAAAAGGAAGAGACAATGATTCATGGATCATCACTGTGCTTCTAATCCTTGATTTTTGATCTTTAAACATAAGACCAGTAGGCCCCTTAGTGACCAGCCAGGGACTCATTAGAATTTAAGTTAGCTATAACAATAGCACAGTGACAGAGCATTGCATGCGAGATGGCAGATGAAAAAAACATGCAGAGAAGAAGCATCGAATGGTCTTACTTGTGCAAACTAGTGTCCAGGCAAGGTGGTGAGGAGGGAGGATGGGGGAAGCATCAGGAAAAACTCAGGTAAGTTCAAGTGCGCCAACAGTCAATGAACACAATCAAGCATACTCTACGATACCCCAAACTGTAAGGAAGAGAACCTACTATTTGTCATTTCAGGCTGGTGCAGTGTCCAGCAGTACCTACCCTTTGGAAACTGAAGCCTCTGCCAGGGCCCCCCCAAACTTTGACAGGTCACTTTTTCCCCCTTTCACATGGCATTGAGAATACCTATGGCATAAAGGGAGAAACAAAATCCTACTTCCAGAGAGGTTTTCTAAATTTACTCCCCTTGGCTGGCTGGCTGGCTGGCTGGCATGGCTCGGTGGTTGAGCATCAACTTATAAACACAGGAGGTCAAAGTTAGATTCCTGGTCGGGCACATGCCTGGGGTGTGGGCTTGATCCCCAGTGGAGGGCATACAGGAGGCAGCTGATTGATGAGTCTCTCTTGTTATTCATGTTTCTATCTTTCTCTCCCCCTATTCCTTCCTCTCTGAAATCAATAAAATATGTTAAAAATAAATAAATTTACTCTCTTTGTTCCAGCAGTTCAAAAGCAGAATGCCTCACAAACCCAAGGCAGGCTATGGGCCCCGGACAGAATTCCAGATGGGAATTAACTTTCTGGACAAGACATTTTAAGAAAAGTTTCCAAACAAGCCCATCACCCCAATAAACCCAAGAGTGTCTGAAATGCAGAGAGATCCTTCCAGATTGAGGAAGATGAGGCTAGCTTGTAGTTTTCTGGCACATTCATTTGAGAATACTTTACTTCCTACTAAAATCATTTTTAAAGAGATAGTTGGAAATTCAGAATCATCTTTACCAAAATTAAAACCCATGGCCTGACCGGTATGGCTCAGTGGTTGAGCATCGACCTAGGAGCTAGAAGGTCACAGCTTCGGTTCCCTATCAGGCCATATGCCTGGATGTGGGCTTTATCTCCAGTGGAGGGTGTGCAGGAGGCAGCCGATCAATGATGCTCTGTCATCATTGTTGTTTCTATGTCTCTCTTCCTCTCTGAAATAAATAAAAATATATTAAAAAAAAAATTCTGCCGAAACCGGTTTGGCTCAATGGATAGAGCGTCGGCTTGGGGACTGAAAGGTCCCGGGTTCGATTCCGGTCAGGGGCATGTACCTTGGTTGCAGGCATATCCCCAGTAGGGGGTGTGCAAGAGGCAGCTGATTGATGACTCTCTCTCATCAATGTTTCTAACTCTCTATCTCTCTCCCTTCCTCTCTGTACAAAATCAATAAAATATATTAAAAAAAAAATTCTACTATTGCCCTAGAATTATAAAACTTTTATGTTTAAGTTAAACCAGCAATTACAATCTTGAAATATTACAGGACATTATTTCCTTAGCCAGCCCCATTTCTTCTACAGGGAGCAAACAGAGGGAGGTTAAAAGTCAGGGAGGATCAACCCTCTCTGACTATTCCTTCTTATTGATTTCAGAGAGGAAGGGAGAGGAAGAGCGATAGAAACATTGATGATAAGAGAGAATCATTGATTGGCTGCCTCCTGCATGCCCCCTACTGGGGATTGAGCATGAAACTTGGGCAAGTGCTCTTGACTGAAATAGAAACCGAACCTTCAGTCCAAAGCCAAAGTTCTATTCACTGAGCCAAACCAGCTAGGGCTGATTATTCCAATAAAAATCTGGAGATGCCCAAAGGTTCCATTTGAAACTGGTCATATTGGTTGTCTCCAGGGAAAGGAACTGAATGGTGCAGACAGTGATGGGAAGAGAAACTTTTGTTTTATGTGCCTAGATAACCTATTTTAAAAACCAATAAAATTAAAGTTGAAGGTTGCTGAAAACCTCATGGTTCAGTCACAATTATAGTAATATGCACTGTCACCTGTGCTAGGTCTTAGGAGGGTAGGTGAGGAGGGAGGCCACTGGTGAGAATCCAAGTCTCATGGATATGCGGATTCTGGATTATCTAAGTACCACACACTGCTCCTCAAGTTGCACATTTACATCAGTATTAAGAGCAGTGGCAGCCGAAACCGGTTTGGCTCAGTGGTAGAGTGTCGGTCTGCGGACTGAAAGGTCCCGGGTTCGATTCCAGTCAAGGGCATGTACGTTGGTTGCAGGCACATCCCCGGTAGGGGGTGTGCAAGAGGCAGCTGGTCGATGTTTCTCTCATCGACGTTTCTAGCTCTCTATCTCTCTCCCTCTCTCCCTTCCTCTCTGTAAAAAAATCAATTGAAAAAAAAAAAAAAAAAAAAAAAAAAAAAAGCAGTGGCAGAACCGTTACTCAGCTGACTTACCGAAAGCTGCCCTCCTAAGGCCCACAGGGAAATGTAGGAGCCAAAGACATTAGCTGACATCAGGAAACGTCTCAGCAGCCACCCCCCAGGCTCCTATAGTAAAGGTCTCCCCACCCTTCTCACTCCTCCCTACTGAGAGTTATTTAGCTGGGGCTTAAATGGTGGAATATTCACCATCCAGATCCTATACACTTCTATACCACATCCTAAGCAATGTGCCACAAGAAAAGAATATTTATGGTACCCTCTCTCCCCATTAGATGTTACTAAAATATACTATTCAGGCTCAGCAGGGAGGAACAGCCAATCAGGGCTCCTCATTCAGGTTCTTCCATGACTGGAATGGGTGTCATCTTCTTTTTAGTAAGAGATATCCCATTACCTTCAAAAGGAAAATTACAATGTGCTTTTTGGTTTGGAAAGGGGGCTACCTGTTTGTATCAAAGTCAGCAACAAAGGGACAAAGTTCCATTCATTATCTCACCATGAAGGCTTGATGTTTTAAGGTAGAGGTCTAGGCCAGAGCTGAGCAGTATCTGAACTGTGGTAGTAGAGTGAAGCCCTCAGCATACACTCTCCAGCCCTGTGAGGTCAGAGACAGATTCCTAATAGTATGCCTCTTGGAGTGACAGGTGCCTAAGCAATGACATCTACATTATCTAGATACTCAGTGTTGGGGGACAGACTAACATGCCAGCAAGTACAGAAGCCACAATAACACTGAGAGAGGGGACAGGGAAGGTGTTCCCCACAAAGCAGGAACCACTTCCACATAGGGGAAATCAAATAAGGAATAAGTGGGTACGCCAAGCCATACATTGTAAGCCAGCAACCAGCATTCTCCAGAACTAACAGCCCCACAGACATAGCCACAGGACTTACAGACACGCACATTGAGCCTGTTCCCGCTGACTCTTGGTCACAACTTTATTGAGATCTCACACCACCCACGTGACCCTAGCCCAGCTCTCTTTGGAAATAATAACCTAAAACACATCCTGTAAGACACGGTAACAAATCTCTGTTCCCCTTTGCACTTACATACAGAATTTTCACTATGATGACTTTTATTCACACAATTTTGTTTTTTCTTCTGTTTCCTATATGTATCCTAACTTTCCCCATTAGTCTGGGCAACTCTTGAGAACAATTGCATTTCTTCCTTGCATTGCACCAAAAATTAAAATAAACACCTAATGAACAAATTCAATAGACAATGCTTAGTGGTTCCCCTCAAAATGCGTCCACAGCTAATTCCTTCCTTCTGAGTTCTTCTTGGATTTGAAAGTGCTACAGGGCCTCTCCTCTACTGATATAAAAAAAGTATGCTCTTCCTCAAATTTCTTTTGCTCTGACCAGGTCCCTTATCTATCTTCCTTTAGTCTCCAAATAATTTTCTTACTCTTTGCCCAACAGATCCTGGACAGTCATATAAAAGGGTATTCCTCTCTACTTCAAAGTCTAGCTCTTGGTAGGATACTAATGAACACATATTGAGTGAAATATCTTATGAACTAGAAGACCTAGATCTAACCTGAAGCATTTTATTAAAAGCTCAAGCTTCATGGTTTCATTACCATGGAATAGCATGCAGGGGATTTAGGAGTCACTAGCCCCAAACCTAAATGTTTTTGAGATATTTCAATCTTATTTCAAAGGCCAAGGATCAGACGTTGTTAGGTGGAATTCCACTGACCTGACTCTCCTTCCTGGTATTGCTAACTGGTAGCAGCAAGCCTGCCAAGGCCTTGCAACCAACACACCACCCAGGCTGGGTTGGCATACCCGCTTATTGCGGTGGCTCCCCAGAAAAGAGAAAGGGCCTGCCTGGGGGAGAGAGGTCAGAGTCCAGAGGAGTCCTGAGGCAGCACATAGTCTTACCGCATCAAACTCTGCTTGGTCATCCTCAGGTAGGTCGCTGGTTTCATAAACATCTGGCTCGTTCCTGGCCTGCGGGTAGAAGCAGTGACCACCTGACTTCATTACACAGCATCCACCAACACCCTTGACCCTATTCCACTGGAACAAGTTCACAGAGAAGGCAGGCTGTGATGCCAGGATCCTGTCCCTTCTCTTCCACCTGCCCAGTTAACTGCAGTTCCCATGTCTTAGAGGGGTTGGGGGAGACAGTGGGGACAACTGGGACTTGATGGTAAATGGTGAGTGTAAGTGATGACCAAGACGTTACCCTGAATCTGGAAGGGCATGGGTCCTTGGCAATCCTTATGTCATCAGTAGGAAAAGGGCTGTCCTCGATTTAGGTCCCGTACACCACCTCCCTGGCACAAGGGTTGAGAGTGACTCAGGACCTTAGTACTCAAGGTCCTGTGACCCAGCCCCCAGCCGGAGAATGCAAGCAGGGGCGGCACAAAAGAGGGTACGTGCCCACACGTTGGGAGGACAGAGTTCTCCATCCAGCACAAGGGCTCAGCCCGGTCACCTGCTCCTTGGCAGGATGAAGGCCATCGCTAAGTGGCCTGATGTGTGTGTCTGGGGTGGGGCTGGGAGGCTCATGGGAAATTTGGGGAGACACGGGTGGTGTTGACACGGGTGGTAGAAACACTCGGGCAAGTGGTAAGGGCCCAGAGACGACTTCTGGGCCGGGAAACGGGCGGCTGCCGGAAGAGGGACCTGGTAGGCCGCCCTAGGCCAGGCCCATTCGGATCCGAGGAGGCCGGAAGGTGCTGCGGCCCGTCCGGGGCGAGCGGCGGGGGCCGTAGGGGGGGTGCAGGGGCTGCAGACCGGAGGGTCACAGGTTGGCGCCTGTTGGGGGTCCTGAGGAGGTCGGGGGCGCGGTTCTAGGGAGCCGAGGCCGTCCTGTACTCACAATGCCGGGAAGGTCGGCGTATTTAGGGTCCGCCATGGCGGCGGCGAGGCGGGTTTGGGGGACCGGGGCCTCGGCGAAGCCGGGACCGGAGTTCGGGCGGGGGAGAGGCTGGGTCCGGGTCCCGGGCTAAGGCGGCGGCAGAGGGAGTGGCGGAGGAGGCGGAAGTCTCGCGACAGCTGCAGCACAGGAGGAGAAAGCAAAAGTCGCGAGAACAGCCCGCTACCACACCCCAGTAGAGGCCGGGGTCGGCGAGAACGAGGCCAGGGAATGAGGTAATGGCCAAGGCCGCCGACTGGGATTATGGGATATGTAGTCTTGGCCCACTGGGGCTTTGGCAGGTGATGACAGTAACGCGCTTTTTATGTCATCCAACCTATTTTCTTTAGTTTTTACATCAAGCCTGTGAAAGAGCTTTTCTAATTCCCGTTTTTTCAGATAAATAAGTTTGGCCTCCCCAGAAATTAAATGACTAGGTAAAAATAATACAACTAGGCATGTTGTGACACAGCCAGGACTCCAAAAACAAAGATAACACACTTTAATAAAGGCTCAGTCTTGTTGGAAATGAAAAAGGTAAGTCATGCCAAAACCGGTTTCGCTCAGTGGATAGAGCGTCGGCCTGCGGACTCAAGGGTCCCAGGTTCGATTCTGGTCAAGGGCATGTACCTTGGTTGCGGGCACATCCCCAGTAGGGGCTGTGCAAGAGGCAGCTGATCAATGATTCTCTCTCATCGATGTTTCTAACTCTCTATCCCTCTCTCTTTCTCTCTGTAAAAAATCAATAAAATATATTTTTTTAAAAGAAAAAGGTAAGTCATCTTCCTATTTTAGGACTATCATAAAATACAGTAAGCCTCGTTAAATTTGAAATAAACAATAAATAGGCTTTTTAAAAAATGTTTTTTATTGATTTCAGAGAGGAAAGGAGAGGGAGAAAGAGATAGAAATATCAATAATGAGAGAGAATCATTGAAGTCTGCCTCCTGCACATCCCCACTGGAGATGGACCCTGCAACCCTGGAATGCATCCTGACCAGAAATCAAATTGCAACTTCCTTGTTCATAGGTCAAAGCTCAACCACTGAGCCACACCCTGACTGGGCCCAATAGGCTTATTAAGTATAAGTGTGTCCCATACCATATTTGGGACATAATAGCACAATAGATATTAGTTTTTTATTTGAAATCAAAATTTAACTGGTTATACTGTTTTTTTGTTTGCTTGTTTGAAATATATATGTATGTATGTATGTATGAATATACATATATACTTAATATATTTTATTCATTTTTCACAGAGAGGAAGGGAGAGGGATAGAAAGTTGGAAACATTGATGAGAGAGAAACATCAATCAGCTGCCTCCTGCACACCCCCCACCAGGGACGTGCCTGCAACCAAGGTACATGCCCTTGACCAGAATCGAATCTGGGACTCTTCAGTCCTCAGGCTGACACTCCCTCCACTGAGCCAAACCAGTTAGGGCTAAAATATATTTTTATTGATTTCAGAGAGGAAGGGAGAGGGAGAGAGATAGAAACACCAGTGATGAGAGAGAACCATTTTTGATCGGCTGCCTCCTGCATGCCCCACACTGGGGATCAACCCAAAACCCCAGCATGTGCCCTGACTGGGAATCGAACTGTGAACTCCCGGTTCTTAGATCATTGCTTAACCACTGAGCCATGCTGGCCGGGTTGATTTTCCTGTTTTTTTTCTTCTTCAAATCTGGCAATCCTATACAAGTTCATAGGTAAGTGATGCCTCTATGTCTGAACACCCTCTGTCTCAGCCACTTCACTGGTTTCAGAGCTTTGAATTTGACAGTTCAAGAAAATTAAAACAAGAACAACAAAATTTTGCGAGGATAAACATAGTATTGCTACCTTTTCATTTTGCCAAAGAAAATCTATTTACTATTACCATGATTCTTTAGCAGAAAAGTAAGAAGGACGTACTCTCAGAATAAAGTCTGCTTTATGAAAAAATCACACTGTGTGCGTGTTTATTTTTGCAAGGGGAGGGGGGCTTACCCATAAACCTTTGTCTCTGACCAATGACCCTTGAAGGACTAGCATTTTGAAACTCCTTTACTTAAGGATGCCACGCTGGAGCTGCTGGGGCCTGAGGTTGGGCTGTTTCCCAGGATATACCCTAAGCTTTCAGGACGCTGCAAAACAGAAATAGTGACAGACAGAGTGACTAGAGAGATGTTTATTTTCCTGAGTTTGGAACTCATTGTCATTCTATGCATACCCCCTTGGCTCCTTCCAAAGCCTCTACCACTCTTTCTTCGTAGTCCTTTTGCCTTACTGTACAGTTTATTATTCTGAACCCTTCCCCTTCAGTTTCCCTAAGATTCAAGGTAGGTTAGAGGTATAGGCCCAATTTTGGAAACCCTCCCAGTTGAATTCTGAATGATTAGGTCTTGTCTGGCCAGGCCATCATTCTCTCCCCTGGCCTCATAGAGTCTAAGTGACCTTAGACAATTGTTAGGCAGAACTTCTATCCCCTCCTCCCTTCTTCCATCACCCTGCTCCTCCCCTTGGCCTAGAGCCTCGACTCCTGCAGTCTAACTGTTGGCCAGCCGAGGCCTGTAATGTGGGGAAAAATCAATTAGGCCAGCTTCTAGATAGTTCTGCCCAGGGGCTGCAGCAGAAGTCTGACCTAAGAGCAGGAAGGACAAGTAATCTCTAGGGTTGGTTTGCTTGCTTTTTTTTTTTTTTTTTTTTTTTTGCCAGAGAAGTGGGAGAAACAGAGAGGGAAGGCGGAGAAACAAAAGAAGAAAGACCTGAGGTGTTAGAACTCTGTCCAACAGTAACTGAGACAGGAAACACACTCAACTAGGTGCCACAACCTGCCTAAAACATAAATTCAGAAGTCTTCCCCAGAAGTCCTCTCTTAAAGTCCCTCTGGCCTTACCCACCCCATCGCCACCCCTCCTTCACAGCTTTCTGACTCCCATTCTCCTGCAAAAGTTACTGCTGCCCACTTTCATTCCAGGCCCATATGAGGCAAAAAAGAAAATTTTACCGGCTCTTGAATTCTGATAGCTCAGCTTGGAAGCTTGTTTTCCTTCAAACTGAGGACCTGGAATGTATGTTGGGACCTCACCTACGCTTTGGCTGCAGACTAAAGGGTCCTGGTTGGATTCTGGTCAAGGGCAAGTACCTCTTATCTCGGTTGCTGGGCTCGGTTTAGGACTGGATCTCTGGCCTTGGTTGGGGCACGTGAGGGAGGCAATCAATCCATGTGGAACATCAATGTTCCTCTCTCTCTTCTCCTTTCCACTCTTTTTTAAAAATATATATATTTTATTGATTTTATACAGAGAGGGCGAGAGATAGTTAGAAACATCGATGAGAGAGAGTCATCGATCAGCTGCCTCTTGCACCACCCCCTACTGGGGATATGCCCGCAACCAAGGTACATGCCCTTGACCGGAATCGAACCCGAGACCCTTCAGTCCCCAAGCCGACGCTCTATCCATTGAGCCAAACTGGTTTCGGCTCCTTTCCACTCTTAAGAAAAATCACTGGAAAAAAATATCCCTAGGTGAGGATTAACAACAACAAAACCCTTGCCAGTTTGGTTCAGCGGATAGAGCATGGGCCTGCGGACTGAAGGGTCCCGGGTTTGGTGTTCAGATTCTGGCCAGGGCACATGCCGGGGTTGTGGGCTCGATCCCCAGGAGGGGACGTGCAGGAGGCAGCCAATCAATGATTCTCTCATCATTGATGTTTCTATCTCTCTCTCCCTCTCCCTTCCTCTCTGAAATCAATAAAAAAATATACTACAAAACAGCAACAACAACAAAAAGGAAAGTATGTTGGGGACCTACAGGGAGTAGACTGCATCCTGTATGCAGAAGGGAAGGGAATAGTCAAACCTCTGATAATCTTCTCTGAAAAAATGGGACCTGGGCAGTCATCTCCATGGGGGTACAGGCCACTGCCCTGGAAGGTTGAGTAGGTTGAGGTGTGTGGAGAGGGACTGAGAAGTGTGCTCCCAATTTGGAGAGAGGATTGTGACAGGGTGGAGGATGCCCTGGAGCAAAGGGGGCTGGAAGTGCTCTTGATTCTCTTCCCTAGACAGTCTCCAGGCCCTCCCCAGACCCCTACTCCTTTCGGAGGGTTGTCCGGGGGAGGGACAGACAGGTTAGGGGTATGGGATGCAGTGAGTAACGGGGGCAGGGAAGGGGTGAGGACAAGGTTATCTTTGAAAGTCAGGGGTGAGAGAAGAAGAGGCTCCAGGGGAGGAAAGGTGCCGGGTGATGGACCTGGGCGGCACCCGCATCCCCGCGCCGGGGAGGCCCCGCCCCTCTCCCCGCCGCCCCGCCCAGGCCCGCAGAGCGGCGCTGCAGCGCGAGGGGCGGAGAGGCAGAGCCCGGAGAGGACCAGACGCTGAGGTCGCCCGCATCCCGCATCCCGCATCCCGCATCCCGCATCCCGCAGCCACAGGAGAGAGCCAGTGCGCCCCGGCCCTGCTCCCCAGCCTCCGCCCGGGCGCCCCCAGACCTTTCTCGGCCCCAGAGACCCAGCACCGGTCCCCCGCCTCGGCCTCCGCTGAGCTCCCTCCTTCGGAGCACGCGCCCCCTCCGCCGCCCAAGGAGAGGCCCAGCCCGCGCCGGCGACCACCATGACGGAGGCCAACAACGAATGCAGCATCAAGGTGCTCTGCCGGTTTCGGCCCCTGAACCAGGCCGAGATTCTGCGGGGAGACAAGTTCATCCCCGTTTTCCAAGGGGACGACAGCGTCGTTATTGGGGTGAGTTGCAGGGAATTTCAGGGAGGGGGCAGGGGGTGGCATCCTACCCCTCGCCGAGCCTTTTAGTCCCTGCCCATCACCCGGTGCACCCCTCTCCGCTGCTCATCCTCCATCGCATTTGCCGGAGCCCCTCCTCTCCCCTGCACCAGGATGGCTGGGTGTGGCCTGCAGGCCCGCTGCCAAGTCTCTGCAGAGTGGGAGGGGGCTGTTTCTCCGCGATCAGGTCACCCCCTTCCCCTTGGCTGCCCCCTGCAGCGTCCCCACCCCTCACCACCAGTCCTGTGTTTTTCTGATGTCTTCCCTTTGTTATTGGCTCACATCTCTACCCCCAGCTCCCAGGAAGGGAGGGGAGGGAAGACTAGTGGATGGACTAGATCCGAGAGGGACAGGCCAGGGTCTCTGCGGAGATACACCAGAGAATGGGCTTTGGGACACAAGCCTCCATCATCCCCTGCAAAATAGTTGCAGCCCGGTCTTGGAGGGAGGGCACAGGGCTGATGAAGCGTTTTCTGAGAAAGACATACATTGATGCCACACCTAGTTTTGGGGAAGCCTCTAGGATCTTCAGGAAATGTCTGCTTTCCCCTTCCAGGCACAGTAGGAAGAGGATTTCAAACCTCCCAATTCTCCTTAACAAATAAAAATAACCCTGAGATCCTAGCAAGTATTTGCATCTTCATCCTTTCTGTTGATCCAATAAAAAGTAGCAAGCCACCTCTACTTCATCATGACAGCCCCTTCCCAGGAAGGAAACCCTGTGAAGGAGAACTAATATCTGCTGTGTGGTTGGTCCTCTCTCTACCTATATTATTTAATCCTCAGAACAACACTCTGAAGGTGGCGTTAATCTTTCCATTTTACAGATGAGGAAATTGAGGCCCAAAGAAGTGGAGTGACTTTCCCTCAAGGTCACACTGTGACTTCATGGATGCGAACCTAAATTTGTGGCTGCAAAGCTCATGTCCTTTTCTCTGTGGCTATTGCCTCCACAGATTTCTGTCCTGGTCCTTTATTTGTAATGGTGCAAAAGGAATTTCTAGGAAGCTCCTCAGCTACCCTCCTTTCCTGGGTTGGGAGGGATTGCCGGGCGAAAGGGTGAAAGGACTGGGGTGGAGTCCAGTAGGGCTTGAGGGGTGCTGGGCCAGGAAACTAGCCACCTTGAGAAGGGAGGAGCATCTATGAGGACAGTCCTCAAGGTCAAGAGCACTTCTTATGCATCTTTGATCCATAGGTATGTTTGTTCAAGAAATGAAAGAAAGAAGGGGCGGGCGCCTGGGCCTTCTGAACCAGTGAGGAAGGGACTCAGAGTAAACAGGCCTTGGGAAGAGAGCTGCTGACATGTTCTGTTCCCAGGGGCCCCGTCTGGCACCACACCGAGCTCTCTCACCCACACTGTGAACTCAAATGGGCACTGGTGCCGTGTGCGTGCGAGTGTGCGTGTGTGTGTGTGCGTGTGTGTGTGTGTGTGTGTGTGTGTGTGTGTGTGTGCATGTGTGTTTGCCACCTTGAGAGGACCCCCATCTCTGTCTCAGGGTCCTTAGGCCTCACAGGCCAGTGGACCAACCGTGGGGGACTCCTCTCTGAATAGTCTGGACAGCAGGCGTTAGCTAGGAGAGTTGGAGCTTCAGGTCCCTCTGAGATATAAAATCGGAGGAACAGGAGGGAGTTGGTTATGGGGGAGCAAATCTACAAAAGGCTTCTACTCTGAAGCCTCACTTCCTTTCCTGTAGATTTTTTCAGGTAAGTCTAAACCAACTCCTCTGGACTCTCTGGGCTGTTTTTCTTGGCTTGTGAGCATGGGCACAGGGTGATACTGGGAGAAGGAATCGTGGTGTGGATCTGTCCAAATCGTGCAGCTGAACAGGAGAGATACAGGGGAAGGGGGGGGGGGGGAGAGGAAGAGAGATGAGGAGAGGCCTGGGACGGCCCCCTGCAAGTTCAGATTCCAGCTTAGCTACATCGCAGGGCTGTTTTGCCTGATACCTGCAGGGCTGTACCTTTGTCTCACTCTGTATCTTCCCTTGCCTTAGCCCTTCCTGTCACTCTCTCACTCCAAGATAAAGGCTTAAGGGGGGCCATTTTGTCTCAGGCAGCATCCTTGGAGCTCGTCTTCTCAGCCTCATCACTCATTTGCCATTCAGGAGGCTGAGGGAGAAGTAATTTTCGAGGAGACCCTTGGGGATCTCCTCAGGGCCCAGGGTGTGAGAAGCTCTGAGGAACTAATGAAGGGAACTGCTTCGAGGTGTCTGGGAAGATGAGGGAGGAGTGAGGGTGGGAGAGGGCGGTCTGTCCACACCCAGGCCGTTTCTTTATCAGCTCTCAGCTCTGCCTCTGCAGCACGGCGGCTGGCTCTGGGCTTCACTCTCTCTCACTTTTGTGGGCTTTGTCTGCTTGGCAAAGGGTAGAAGAAGAAGCTGGAGGGGCAGCTCTCTGAGCCTTATCACTCCCTCAGTCCCCTGACTAGTCCCAGGAATCTGGGGCGCAGGGCTTAGCCAAAGTTAGTGGCCTGAGTCATAGCAGAAGGGTGTCTGGGTCACTGTCTGTGTGTGCTGTGTGCTTTGTTTTGCTCTGTATGCCACTCAGAATCCAATGTGGCTTTTTCACCAGAACCATTAATTGTCTCTTTTTTGGTCTTGGTGGTCAGTGTCCCAGGGCCTGCTTTTCTGTGCAGCTATGTTTATACCAGATGTGGGCATGATGACAATAAAGAACATACACACACACACACACACACACACACACACACACACACACACACACTTTCTTTCTTCTTTTAAAAAAATATATATTTTATTGATTTTTTACAGAGAGGAAGGGAGAGGGGGAGAGAGCTAGAAACATCGATGAGAGAGAATCATTGATTAGCTGCCTCTTGCACACCCCCTACTGGGGATGTGCCCGCAACCAATGTACATGCCTTTGACCGGAATCGAACCTGGGACCTTTCAGTCCGGAGACCCACGCTCTCTCCACTGAGCCAAACTGGTTTCAGCCATACACTCTTTCTCTCGCTCTTCTTTTTCTCCCCCTCCCTCCCTCAACCTTTCCCTCCCTCCTTCCTTCCTCCCATCCCTTCTTTCTTCCCTCCTTTTCTCAAGCATCCGTTACCTGCTACCTCTCTCAGGTAGTTAAGTAGATTCTTAAGGAGGAAAAAACCCCAGAACCATCAAGTACCTCATTTGGAAAAGCTAGGTTGGGACCTGCAGGATTATCAGAGGAGTCATTGTTGTTTGGTGTGGCCGGGGAGTCCTTTGTTATTTGAAGAGGGGGAGCAGGCAGGTCTCCCCTTAGCTTTGGAGAATGGAGAGGGGCGGTAAGGTTCACTGAGGCCCATGTCTCTGCAGCATTACCATGGCAACAATCCCCAGGGGTGTCACCATGGAAATCAGGCCTGGTGCTGGGAAGCTCAGCCTCTATTAAGCGTTTTACAGAGGGTTGAAAGGTTGGTCATCTTTGGGCCCCGATTGTAGGCCTTCCCCTCAGTTTCAGTCAATACACATAATGGAAAACTACCGAGAGGTGCTGGGAGACAAATGGACCAGGAGACCACAAGGAGGCTTGGAGTGGGGTTAAAAGGACAACGGAACATCCTGGGCTTCTGGGCTGAAGAGAGGCTCTCCGGAGACGCTGTGGGGAGTGCTCAGACTGCTGTCTGTGCCAGGGAGAGTGGGTTTCAGGGGCACCTCTCCAAGGAGCAGGGTCTCCCCGAGTGCTTCTAATTTATCAATTTATCTTCCTGTCTCTGCCATCGTACCAGCTTGTGGGGTCTTGGGTTACCTGTGTGTGTGTGTGGGGGGAGGGTAAGGGAGGCTCCTTGGAGAGGATGGGTGGGAGAGTTGCATAATTCTGAAAATTCGGTTGAGGTTGGAAAAACAGAGTGACAAAGAGCTTTAGGTCTGTCTGGAAACATTAGGAGAAATATCCAAATTGGGGCGGGGATTTATGGGGAAGGGGAAAGGAAAAGCTATGACGATAAGGATCTAACGCAGTGTTAGTTCTTAGATCCCTTTGGCACTGTGAGTCTGGGATCGGATTATTTGGGTTTAAAACCAGGCTCTACCATTTCTCCGCTGTGTGATTGTGGGCAAGCTACCTATCTCTCTGAACTTCAGTTTCTGCATCTATAAAATGGAATAAAAATAGTACCGGTATCTACCTCCTAGGATTGCTGTGAGCATTAAATGAGATAATGCATATAAACTGCTTAGCACAGTGACAGGTACATAGTAAACTCCTGATAAGTGTTAGATGTTATTATTATTTTTTATATGCCATCTCCCCACAAGCTAGCCTATGACACAATTCTGAAGTAATTAACATTTCCCCCTCTTACTGGTTGTTTCTCCAAACATCTAGGTCTATACTATCTTCTTGCTCTTCCTCTATCAATATCATTTTTTAAAAATATATATATTTTATTGATTTTTTAAAGAGAGGAAGGGAGAGAGATAGAGAGCTAGAAATGTCGATGAGAGAGAAACATCGACCAGTTGCCTCTTGCACACCCCCTATCAGGGATGTGCCCGCAACCAAGGTACATGCCCTTGACTGGAATCTAACCCGGGATCTTTCAGTCCGCAGACCAACGCTCTACCACTGAGCCAAACCGGTTTTGGCTCAATATAATTTTTTAAAAATATTTTTTTATTGATTTTAGAGAGGAAGGGAGAGGGAGAGAGAGATAGAAATATCAATTATAGGAGAATCAGCCTAGCCGGTTTGACTCAGTGGATAGAGCATCGGCCTGCGGACTGATGGGTCCCAGGTTTGTTCCGGTCAAGGGCATGTACCTTGGTGGTGCGCACATCCCCAGTAGGGGGTGTGCAAGAAGCAGCTGATAGATGTTTCTCTCTCATCGATGTTTCTAACTCTCTATCCCTCTTCCTTCCTCTCTGTAAAAATCAATAATATATATATATATATATATATATATATATATATATATATATATATGTTTGTTTTGTTTTTTAAGAAAGATTGCATGCCCCCTACTGAGGATC